AAGACACCTTCTATAGTATATTTAATTATTACTTCCTTTTTTGTCTTTTTTCCCTCTAATAAGATGAAGTTTCTACAAGAACAGAATCATTATGCGTCTCTGTCCAATAAAACCCAGCAAAGTGCTTTGCTAATAAATAATGATTAGTAAAAAGGATTGCTAATTTAAAAAATTCAGTGACTCTGAGACTTCCTGTCACAAACTAAAAAAACTGGCCTGGCCAGCATAGCTCAGTGGTTGAGTGTCGACCTATGAACCAGGAGGTCACCATTTGATTCCTAATCAGGGCACATGCCCAGGTTGCAGGCTCGATCCCCAGTAGGGGGCATGAAGGAGACAGCCGATAAATGATTCTCATCATTGATGTTTCTCTCTCTCTCTTCCTCTTTGAAATCAATAAAAAAAAAATACTTAAAAAAAATTAAAAAGCTATAATGACATCTATTTCTCTACACCAGTGTTTCTCTTGGATTTAAAAAAGCTTATTAGCTATAGGGATCTTTTTTTAAGGAGGGGCCAGTATTTGTTCCGAAAGCCTTGAGTTCACAAAAGGAAAGATAAAGTGGTGAATGCCTAAAGTAAAGTATCATAATGATGCTCTCCCTTCTTCTTAGGATTCTAGCCAGCTGCTATGTTGGGAGGGTGAGGAGCAAGGGTTAGTAACAGGCAGGGACATGGCAGCTGCCACCTTAGAGATCATCTGGTTCTGACACCAACTTTGTTTCTTCATCTCGGTAATAATGGAGCTGAATATATTTTAAGATCTCTCATTAGATCCTGAAGTACTTTGTGCCCAGCTCTCTCCAGTGCTCTCTTTAATGCTGATATGAAAAAGGGATAGGTGGTCTGTTGTGGGTTAGTTTACCTGTTATAAAAGTGACAGCTCCATTTGTGAGGTATTTAAAATTTAGGGCCTACAATAGGAAGAATCAAATTTTTTTCTTTATTATATCTAGTGATAGGATAAACACAAAGTTGTATTTTGTAATTTCCCATTTGTTGATTTTTATTTACTGCCCATGCTTCTGACAGCTTGCAAAATGGGAAATATAAACAACAAAAGAAATGGGAAAGTGTTTTACCTTACTAGAAACAAATTGAAATATAGTTAGCAAAATAAATGGGAAGTGTTCTACTGTGCTAGCAGTGAGTTGCAAATTTAAACAAGTTACTGCTGTTTGTCTTCACAATTAAATATATAAGCACTATTGTGAAATGAGTATTCTTGCAGAGTTGATGAGTATAAAGAGATAAAATTTTTTGGAAAGTGATTTGGAGCCCTAACTGGTTTGGCTCAGTGGATGGAGCATCAGCCTGCAGACTGAAAAGTCCCAGGTTCGATTCCGGCTAAGGGCATGTGCCTTGGTTGTGGGCACCTCCCCAGTAGGGGGTGTGCAGGAGGCAGCTGATCGATGTTTCCAACTCTCTATCCCTCTCCCTTCCTCTCTGTGAAAAATCAATAAAATATATTAAAAAAAAGAAAAAAAAGAAAGTGATTTGGAAATATGTATCATGAGTCTTAAAAATGTCTTTGATTTGAAAATTTGGCCTAATGAGGTAATGTTAAATAGAGAAAAATTGGGGCATATAATGTACATGTAAGTGTTATTTAGTGATAGGATCAAATTAGAAATGATGATACCTCTTAAAGATGGAATATATAGAACCATTAAAAAGAAAGCTTTTGAAGATTTATAAGACTACGGAGAAATTTTCATTATATAGCATTTAAAAGCAATGAATATTTTTTTGTATTCATTTATTAACACCTTAATAGCAGATAACTATAGTGATCATTCCTTCCTTCCTCAGTCACCCTTCTCAACCTTGGGTAGTTTTTCTTCCTTGCTGGCTCTTTTATTTGTCTCCTTTGCTGCTGCCTCTTCTTTCTGTTTAATCTTAAATGTGGGAGTACTTTAATGCTTGTCCTTGGTCCTGCCTCTTGAGTGTGTCACTTGTGGACGTGTAGTGTTATAATCTGGTATGGTCTGAAGCTATCCACCAGATGCACTGGCTCTGGGGCCTCCGGGGAGATGCAAAGTCAGCCACTGCCTGGGACCACCTGGCAGGAGTTACCCAGCTATCTGCAGATGGCTATTATTTGAATTGGGCTTGGAAATGTCCAGGTGAGGCCAAGTTGTGAAGTAAGACAGACTGGTGCTAGTGCTGGGTCTTTGGCCTCATATTGATAGGTATGGGGTATGCTGATGCCAGCTGCTTCTTGTTTAAGTGACTTTAGGAAAGTCTGAAGCCTGAGCCAGGACAGGCTATTCATATGGAAAAGCCATTGCAAAAGCTTGGTGAGGCTGCAAGTTGGATGGGGCGGGGTTTCAGGGAATCACCAGGGTGGAGCGAAAAGTGTGAGCCATGCTGATGGAAACTGCCAGTCAGCTCTGCAAGGGGGTGAGGTTCCAGTACAGAAACAATGCCCCCTGCGAGCATCTCCATTTGGGAGAAAGCCACCTTGAGTTCCTGCCCCGATGCCAGACAATTCAGTTCCTCCCTGTATGTGTCTGGTTTCCCTAGTGATGCTGCCCAATGCTGGAGATCAGAGGGAGGGGAACTGTATAAGTCTGTGTGCTGGCCCTTTAAGAGGGACTGCTTGAGTCTCCAGCAGCCTCTGTTTCACTCAGCCACAATCCCCACTGGTTTTTACAGCCTGAAGTTAAGGGACTTCTCTTCCCAGCTCAGGGGTCTGGTGTTGGGCTGGGACCCCTTGCTTCCTTCTCATGGGAGGTCTCTGCTGCGGAGGTATCCCTCTGGATTAAAAACACACGCTACACGTGGGTTTCTGACCAGCCTGTTTTGTGCCTCCGCCCCTCCTACCATTCTCAGTGTGCTTTCTTCTTTACATCTCTAGTTGTAGGACTTCCATTCAGCCGGCTTTTCAGGCCGCCCTGAATGATGGTGGTTCTATATTTTAGTTGTAATTATTTTATTTTATCTTTCTTTTTTTATTGATTTCAGAGAGGAAGGGTGAGGGAGAGAGATAGAAACATCAGTGATGAGAGAGAATCATTGACCAGCTGCCTCCTGCACGCCCCACTCTGGAGATCTAGCCCACAAGTCAGGCATGTGCCCTTGACTGGAATCGAACCCAGGACCCTTCAGTCCACAGGCTAATGCTCTATCCACTGAGCCAAACCAACTAGGACTATTTTAGTTGTAATTTTGATGTGGTTGTGGGATGGTGCAAGTACTGGCATTTACCTACACCACCATCGTGGTTCTCCTAGCATAATGTTTTCAAGGCCCCTCTATGTTGCAGCTTCTATAAAAATTTTATTTCTTTCTATGGTTTAGTAACATTCCATTGTATCTATATACCACATTTTGTTTATCTAATCACCTATTTACTTCCGGTTATAAAGCGTTTGAAAATGTAACTATTAATTATTGGTAATTTACATAGCAGATTTACTGATTAAATAATAAATCATATGCTCTAGAATCCATACAATCTATATAGATATGAATAGAGCACAGATTATGGAGTTCCTTTTCCTTATATATATTTTTATAATCTAAGGAAGGAAAAATTCAACATGGTATTTGAAATTCTGAATCATTAAATGAGATAACCATTAGTCATTTATGTTAACAGAACTTGTTCCATAAAGATTAATTTTATTAAAAGTGTAAGCTTTGTTTAATAATTACTGCCATCAAAGTCATTTTTCTTCTAAGGTTACATTATAATTTTGTTTCAGCTTTATTGAAGTCTATTTCAATCCTGCTATCCTATCATTTTACCTTGTTACCTTTATTGACCTGGAACCTGGCTCAGTGGTACATAGTAGGTGCTTAATAAATATATATTGAATCCATGAGTGTCTTTAGCTGTATAGTTACAAACATTCTTGTATTATTTTTGTAGATTATAGCAGTAAATTCATTTGTTATTTGTAGGTGTTACTAAATTCTCATAAGATACTCTTATTTTCATATTCTTAAATTTTATTTAACTTTGTTCCTATATATTAAAAAAGATTAGGCTTTAGCTTTTAAAACTTTAGCACTGCAAAGTTTTCAACACTATTATGCCACGTTTTTAAACCTTAATTAAGCTACTAGAGCTCGGTGCATGAAATTTATGCAGTGAGGGTGGGGTCCCTCAGCCCGGCCTGCACCCTCTCGCAGTCCGGGACCCCTCAGGGGATGTCTGCCTGCTGGCTTCGGGCCTAAGCTGGCAGTCAAACGTCCCTCTCACAGTCCGGGGCTCTCGCAGTCTGGGACCCCCTTGCTCCTTACTGCCTGCCTGCAGCGGAGGTGGGAGAGGCTCCCACCACCACCATTGCGCTCGCCAGCCATGAGCCCGGCTTCTGGCTGAGCAGAGCTCCCCCTGTGGGAGTGCACTGATCACCGGCGGGCAGCTCCTGCATTGAGTGTCTGTCCCCTGGTGGTCAGTGTGCATCATAGCAACCAGTCATTCCGCCTTTTGGTCGATTTGTATATTAGGGTTTTATTATATAGGATAGAGTCAAAATGTTAGTGAAAGCAGTCATTTCCGGGCTTCTGTGCTTATGAATCAGATTGTAACTATTTCTTTGGCTTTGGATTTGTGGTTTCTTGAACTAATTTAAGTGATGCAAAAGATGAGTCTCCTTAGGCGTTTCCTTTTTTTAAAAAGTGTAGTTGGTGTTTTATTGTAAACAGATTTTCTCCAAGGAAAACTTGTGTTCATCATCCATTATGAATGAAATCCCATCTGTATATATCAGTCCCTATATATTTTATTATTTGCTACCCATATGTGTGGGTTTTTACTTATTTGGTTTTTGTTGTGTTTTGTTTTGTTTTTTCCAAAAGAGTTCCTGCGGTTTTGAAGTAACTATTCTGACTCATTATTTTGCTAATTGCTAAATATTTTCCTTTAGGTTACTCCCAATCTACTTTGGCATTTGTAAATTCTTACACTTCTATTGGTTCCCTCTGGCCACTGGGTGTATGACTCAGTGTCACATGCATGTGCTATTACTTGTCAGAGTGGAATTCTAAGACTTCCTCATGACATAGAACAGTTTAACTTTCGTGCTTTCTGGGCAGAGAAATGGTCCTGGGGACAGTTCTGCTTCCACCTGATAGTTATGGAAGAGATCAGGACACGTTGCTTTGCTGCCTGTGCAGTGAGGCCTCAGAAACTGCTCTACCTACCTTATCAGGTATGATTCAGAGAGTTTGGGGGAGGGTAGTTAATCACAGTAATCAAGTGTGAATGGAGATCTCAAAAAATGAATCGTATCTATTACTGTCTTTTTTCTTAGCCAGTGATACTTCGCGTGCTTGCGTGTGTGTGTGTGTGTGCGCGCGCGCGAACTCTGGTATTTTACAGTAGGACCTCAATAAGTACTTACTGAAAAGAATAAATGAGTAATATGTAGTATTTTGTGGTCTTAAGATACATGTGGCTTGATATGAAGAACTTAAACTATATTTTGAGAATTGTTGAATAATTTATCCAACCACTTTAAATAGTTTTTAAAGAGGTATTATAAACTATTAGCTTTTAGGAGAATATGCAGTTTGGTAAAGTAGAATTCTGGCAATACAAGTGTTTGTAAAATATTTGGAAATACCTAAGCTGAAAATTTGTATATTAATTTTTCTAATTTCTACCTGACAGATTTCTAATTAAATTGATAAAAGCTATTGAATGACTAATTGGTGAAAAGTGTTTTTAATACAATTAAATATTAAATTTATCTCTGAATTTCAGTTTTAATCTGGATTTTAACTTGTTTAATCCTGATAATTTACTTTGTATAAGCTGCTATTTTATGTTTAGCCTTATTTTTATTGTATCCTGCAAGTGTATCAGTAGAAAAAGGTAATAAAACTACCTTCTCTTTATACTCAAAATGTATTTCTGCTACCTGTGTCTTGTATTCTGTATATGAAAATTAGTCTTCTTTTGCCTCATCTAAGTGTGATCTTCCCTATAACAATGATTAATAAAAGATCTATCTTCCTATCTAAGGTACCTAATGTAGAGTAGTCACTCCACATTGTTCAAAAATAAAACATTTCCAGACTACACGCTTGAATTTGGGTGGGTGCAGGACATCTGAATCATGTATGTGTTTTTCTGTTTTAAACTGTTGAGCAAAGTGGTGTAGACTAGACGCCCTGGATGGCACTGTAACATTTACTACTTGCTTTTCCTGTGGGATTTTTTTGTCTTTTTTTGCCTTTATTTTTTAGCTTGTTCTCCTCATTTAGTTCTTTAAGTCTTTATGATTTAATATATGCTCATTCTTGGCCTCAGGAAAATGTTAGGATGTTGTGTTGTCTTTGGAAAATTTTCCCTTTGTTTTGTGCTACTGGTAGGATGGCGTTTCAGTGGATATCCTGTGCAGACAGATTGTACGGGAAGTTGACCCTTAGTTTTCTGAGAACAAAAGACTGAGTGGGGAAAAAAGAAGGAAGGAAGGAAATAGGATCTTTTGACTTGATCATAAAGGTTATAAATTCAGAGATGGGGAGAAGGGGAGTGGGGATTAAAAAGGATTGTTTCCCATTATGGTTCTTTAGTACTTTGGCTTCAAAAATTACTTTTATCCTGTTTTTATTATTTTGTATACTTGAGAAATGTACAGTACTGTTTGGTCTGAATACGGGATGAACAAAAGTAGGTTTATAGTTGTTCGTATGGAAAATAATAGAATAATTAATAAATAATATAAGAATAAACTGTTTTGCATACTCATAACTGTACTTACTTTTGCCTAACCCTGTATATCTTTCAAGTTTATATAAGATTGTGTCGTAGGTCTCATTCTTTTTTTCTCCTTTTGTCAAATAACATGGTTTTTAATAAGCTGACTTGCCTTTAACAATCCTCCTTTGAGCTTGTTGGAGTTCCTCTTCAGTACATGTGAACTACATGTCACAGACATGTCTTGCACATTGACAGTCTGTCACTCTACTGTCTTCTGTGCAGAATTTCTGCTCATCCAATTTTAATGCTTTCTCTTCTCTGAAACCTTTACTGACTTCAGAGCTTTGTGTTCTATTTTGTCCCCTGAGAGCATCCTTTGAGTACATGATTCATTTATTCAACATCTTTTTTGACAGCCCCTTATATACATGCACTATTCTGGGTGCTTGTAATTTATCAGTGACCAAAGCAGACAGAAATCGCTGTCCTCATAAAACTGGTATTTTGGTTGGGGGAGTTAGTTAATACACATGAATATAAAAAAAGTAAATTATATATTTTGTGGTATTAAGAGCTATGGAGAGAAATAAATTGGGAAGGGAGACATGGGGAATGTGGGAGTGTTGTCAGGAATAGATGTATTTTAAAATAAGACAGTAAAAAAATACTGCACCGAGGGGGTAACATTTGAGTGAAGTGTCATGTGGATATCTTGGGGAAGAATGGTTTCAGCGGTTCTCAACCTGTGGGTCGCGACCCCCTTTGGGGCTCGAACGACTCTTTCACAGGGGCCGCCTAATACATCCTGCATATCAGATATTTACATTATGATTCATAACAGTAGCAAAATTACAGTTATGAAGTAGAAACGAAAATAATTTTATGGTTGGGGGTCACCACAACGTGAGGAACTGTATTAAAGGGTCGCGGCATTAGGAAGGTTGAGACCACTGGTTTAGGTAGAAGGTAAAGCCAGTACAAAGGTCCCAAGGCTTGCCTTGTCCAGGGAAGGCCAGTGGTCAGAATGGGGTATATTAGGGGAGTAGGAGTTGGAAGATGAATTGGGTAAGACAAGTTGTAAAGGGCCTTGTAGGCCCTTGTTAGGACTTTGGTTTTTACTATAAGATATAGGGAGCCATCTAAGATTTTAAGCAGAGGAGTAATACAATCTGATTTATGCTTTAAAACTGGGTGGTGTGCCCTAGCCTGTTTAGCTCAGTGGATTGAGCATAGTGCATGCCCCCTGCACTCCCCCTCCAGTCCCCAGACTGAAGGGCCCCAGATTTGATTCAGTGAAGGGCATGTACCTTGGTTGCAGGTTTGATCCCTGGCCCTGGTTGGGGTGCATGCAGGAGGCAAACAATTGATGTGTCTCACGTTGATGTTTCTCTCTCTGTGTCTCTCCCTCTCCCTTTCACTCTCAATGGGAAAAATATTCTGGTGAGGATTAACAACAACAACAACCTGGCTGGTGTGTTGAGAACAGACAGTAGAGAACAAGGATAGAAGCATGGAGATCAGTTAGGATAGTGAAATAATCTAGGTAAGAGATGATGGTTATGACAGGGTGGTAGTAGTGGAGGGGGTGAGAAAGGAATAGATTCTGAATATTGAAAGCAGTGCCAATAAAATTTCCTGATGGGTTAGTTGTGATATGTGAGTGCAAAAAAAGGAATCATGAATGATTCCAAGGTTTTTTGTTTGTTTGAAAATTTTTTTCTTTATTGATTAAGGTATTACATATGTGTCCTTATCACCCCATTGACTCCTCACCCCCACACTCATGCCCTCACCCCCCTGCTGTCTGTGTCCATTGGATTTGCTTATATGCATGCATACAAGTCCTTTGGTTGATCTCTTCCTCTTCCTCCCACTCTCCCCTACCTTCCCTCTGAGGTTTGACGGTCTGATTGATGCTTCTCTGTCTCTGGATTTTTTTTGTTTATCAGTTTATGTTATTCATTATATTCCATAAATGAGTGAGATCATGTGATATTTATCGTTCTCTGACTGGCTTATTTCGATTAGCATAATGCTCTCCAGTTCCATCCATGCTGTTGCAAATGGTAAGAATTCCTTCTTTTTTATAGCAGCGTAGTATTCCATTGTGTAGATGTACCACAGTTTTTTAATCCACTCATCTGCTGATGGGCACTTAGGCTGTTTCCAAATTTTACCTATGGTAAATTGTGCTGCTATGAACATAGGGGTCTATATATCCTTTCTGATTGGTGTTTCTGGTTTCTTGGGATATATTCCTAGAAGTGGGATCACTGGGTCAAATGGGAGTTCCATTTTTAACTTTTTGAGGAAACTCCATACTGTTCTCCACAGTGGCTGCACCAGTCTGCATTCCCACCAGCAGTGCACAAGGGTTCCTTTTTCTCCGTATCCTTGCCAGCACTTGATGTTTGTTGATTTGTTGATGATAGCCATTCTTACAGGTGTGAGATGGTACTGCATTGTTGTTTTGATTTGCATCTCTCGGATGATTAGTGACTTTGAGCATGTTTTCATATGTCTCTTGGCCTTCCTTATGCCCTCTTTCCAAAAGTATCTATTTAGGTCCGTTGCCCATTTTTTTATTGGGTTGTTTATCTTCCTTTTGTTAAGTTGTAGGAGAGAGTCCAAGGTTTTTTGTCATCCCCCTCCCACCACCCAGCTTTATTGATATAGTTGACATACAAAAATATGTAAGTTTAAGGTTTATGATGTGTTGATTTGATACACTTGTGTATTGCAAAATGATTACCACAAGAGCCTTAGCTAATACACACATTACATCACATAATTACCATTTCTTTTTTTGTGGTGAAAACATTTAAGATCTACTCTCAGTAACTTTCAAGTATATAGTACAGTATTATTAACTATAATCACTATGCTGTACATTAGACCCCCAGAACTTACTCATCTTATAGCTAGAAGTTTGTACTCAAGCTTTCAAGGTTTTTGGTCTGAGCAACTAAAAAGTTGAAATTGCCATAAACTGTGATGGGGAATTCTGTGGAGAAGCAGATTTGGGGGAGGGAATGGAGAGTAGTTTTTTATAGTCCAAATAGTGGTCTATAATCTTTATATTCTGAAGCTCAGCGTAAGGCTATTGAATAGTAGGTGTTCATTAACAAATAGATGTTCACTATAATTATTAATTTTGTAAACTTTATAATATACTGTGTTTCACAAAGTAATATATAAATGTATGGTTTTGCTGTTTTTGAGTTGGTTTAAGAGTTGGTTTTAGTGTCTACTTGATTACTGTTACTAACTTGGTCATCTACACTAATAAAAGAGAAACATGGTAATTAGCGTACGACCGCTACCCTTCCCATTGGCTAATCAGCATATCCTTATGCAAATTAACTGTCAGCAAGATGGCAGCCGGCAGCCATGCACTGAAAGCGAACAGGGAGGCTTGCTTGCTCCAGTGACTGCGGACTCCAACGTTCCCCGCCTGAGTTGCCGGCCTCTCAGCTGCAACTCTAAGCAACTATGTACTATGTTGCAAATATAGAAGCTAAACAAAAACCCCAGAAACCGGCTTTCAGTCAGCCTGCCTTCAGCCAGCCTGACAGCAGCATTGTATCAATGTTTTCAGCAGCGAGGCCTCAGAGCTAAAGCTGGCCCAGAATAGAAAAAAGAAAAGAAAAAAGGAGCAGTTGGGAGCTTCAGTCACCCGCCAACGTGAAAACGGCCCTCAGCCCCTCAGCCAGACTGGCCAGGCACCCCAGTGGGGACCCCCACCCTGATCCAGGACACCCTTCAGGGCAAACCAGCCAGCCCCCGCCCATGCACCAGGCCTCTATTCTATATAGTAAAAAGGTAATATGCCTCCCAGCACCGGGATCAGCGGAGCAGTGAGGCCTCCCGGCACCAGGATCAGCGTGACCGGGGGCAGCGCCCAAACCCCCTGATCGCCCTGCGGCTCTGTGAGTGACAGGGGGCGGGGCCACAACCCCCTGATCAGCCCTGCTCTGTGCCTGATAGGGGGGAGCTCCCCAATCCCCTGTTTGCCCTGCGGCTCTGTGTGTGACAGGGGGGGAGCTCCCCAACCCCCTGATCGCCCTGTGGCTCTGTGTGTGACAGGGGGTGGGGCCCCAACCCCCTGATCAGCCCTGCTCTGTGCCTGATAGGGGGGAGCTCCCCAACCCCCTGATTGCCCTGCGGCTCTGTGTGTGACGGGGGTGGGGCCACAACCTCCCTATCCTCCCTGCTCTGTTCGTGACAGGGGAAGGCGCCCCAACCCCCTGATCAGCCCTGCTCTGTACCTGATAGGGGGGAGCTCCCCAATCCCCTGATCGCCCTGCGGCTCTGTGTTTGACAGGGTAGAGCCATAACCTCTCCATCGGCCCTGCCCTGAGTGTGACAGTGGCGGTGCCCCAACCCCCTGATCGGCCCTGTTCTATGGGTGATAGAGGGTGGCGCCCCAACCCCCCTCCACGGGCCTTGCTCTATGTGTGACAGGGTAGAGCCATAACCTCCCCATTGGCCCTACCCTGAGTGTGACAGGGTGCAGCGCCCCAACCCCCTGATCCGCCCTGCTCTGTGTGTGACAGGGGGCGGTGCCCCAACTCCCCTATCGGCCCTACTCTGTGAGTGACAGGGGGGAACTCCTCAACCCCCTGATCGGCCCTGCTCTGTGCGTGACAAGGGGTGGCGCCGCAACCTCCCCATCAACCCTGCCTTGAGTGTGACAGGGGGCGGTGCCCCAACCTCCCAATCGGCCCTACCCTGAGCGTGACTGAGGGTGGCATCGCAACCTCCTGATCCGCCCTGCTCTGTGCATGAGGGGCCGGCGCCCCAACTCCCCAATCGGCCCTGCTCTGAGCCTGACCAGGGGCTGCACCTAGGGATTGGGCGTGCCCTCTGCCACCCGGGAGCAGGCCTAAGCCAGCAGGTCGTTATCTCCCGAGGGGTCCCAGACTGTGAGAGGGCACAGGCCGGGCTGGGGGACCCCCCCCCCCCCAGTGCACAAATTTTTGTGCACCGGGCCTCTAGTCTATAATAATAAAAGTGTAATATGCAAATCAACTGAACGGCCAAACAGCAGAACTACCGTCCGGACGACCTTCCAGATGACCTTTTGGACAAAGCCAGGGCTGCGAGGGCCTACCCTTGCACGAGTTTTGTGCATCGGACCTTTAGTGGATAATACAGAAGTTAAGCTACCCTTGATTTTTGTTCCTCTTATAATTTCAAACAAGGGTACTTATACTTAAAAAGAAGGAAATGTACTTGAATTGTTTGATAAACATTAAACAGAGTAATAATCATGTTACTGCCATCACTGGCAAGAAACATCAGTGTGGATCATGTTATGTTTAGTATGGAACCTCATAAATATTGTGAATATTCTTTGTACTTCTTTTTATGTTAATAAAGGGTTGTCTTTTCATAACCCAATGGAAATTCTGTTAAAGTAGATAATTTTTCATTAGAATAAATAATAACATAGAACATGTGGCCAGTTTAAAGGACGTTTCATATAATACAGTGTTTTGTTCATTTTATAATTCTAATTCCCAGTCACTATAACTCTGCCTTTAAACAAAGAGCAACACATTTGTTTCAAATTAACTGTCAGGACATCTGGACATATCTTTAGGTTTGTCATAGTTATTCTAAATTTAAAATAAAATTTAATTAGCTGTGGAATTTTAAATACATATTTAAGAGAAGAAGGAATGTGATGAAGTGAAATAAACTCTAAAACTGTTAAGAATTACAGGTCAACCTACAACAGGGATTTCTGTCTATTTCATGTATAGACAGTGATGCAGCCATTTTTAAAACATTGGTTAATGCTATTTTAATATTAAAATACATGCCATTGTTTTCTGTCACTTACGTTTTTGTGTAATTTGGTCATTCATTCAATCAACAGTTATTGAACACATATAACTCCTTGCTAGAAAGAAAAAGTGCCATTCTTATGCCAGAGAATACTTTGTAAGGCTTGGGAGACAAACATGAATTGAGGATATAGTAAAGATAAAGATAGAAGGTATTAATACAGCAAATGCAATGTTTTTTTGAGAGCACTAGGAGGAGGAATCTGTGAGGCTTCTTAGGGGAGGTTATTGGAGCTGAGTGTTATGAAATGAGCCAGCCAGTCAAGAAAAGTGTGGAATGAGACCACATTCCAGATAGACAGGACAGTGTGAACAAAGGCAAAAAGATAGGAAGCATCACAGTGTATGTTAACATTTAAAATTTGAGATGTGGAGTGGGTGGAGGTAAAGCTAGAGAAATAGGAGACCTGATCTTAAAGCCCTTGAAGACCATATTAAAGAGATTTTAGCTTGATGGTAAACTATTGAAGAATAATCTTAAGAAGAGTGACATGGTCAAATTTTTGTTTTGAATAGATCACTTTGCCAGCTGTGTGGAGGATGGATTTGAGGGAGACAAGACTGGAGGCAGTAGTCCAGGTGAGAGACGATGGGGATTTGAACTAAGGCATTGGCTATAGAGATGGAGAGGAGGGAATGGATTTGAAAAGAAATAAAACCACAGATTAAAGGCTTATTCTCCTGTAAATATGATAAAAACCAGTTTTAAATTAAAAATGATTGGAGGAGAAAGAGAGACATAATAGAAAAGTTGGTGGCACATAGCTGCTAAAAATAATTCCAGTTCTTAAGAAAATTGCTGCTAGAAGAACAGAGTATTTTTTGTATAATTGACCTGGGCTGTAAAAAGATGGTTTGTGTAGTATGACTAAACTTAAGAACCATAAAGCCTTGAGGAAGAAACCAGGTCTTACAAGGCTTCCACCATTACACATGACAGAAACTCAATAAATGTACATTGTTGGTGATATTTTCTAGAGCATTCATTTAAGTTCCTACTTTACAAAAATGTATCACCAAGGAAAAGAAAATAGGGTAGAATTTTTTTCATTAAAACAACAATTGTAAACTATTATAGACAGCGTTGCATGGTAACACAAAATTATTCTGGAATGGTGAGAATATTGTTTGAAACCAAAACATTTTTCTGTTGTTTAACAGGTAATTTTAGGATTTTTTTTCTAGAAGCACTATTTTTACATGTAAATGGAGGATCTGGATTTACACAATATGTACATATTTCTTAAAATCTGTTATCTTTTTCACAATTTGTTTTATATGGACAGAGTAAGGGAAGGAGGGGAGTTTGGGAGGATTTATAAAACATAACTATTCCTTCTTAAAACCACCACTCCACCATAACAAAATATTGTATTTTTATAAAACAAATTGCCAGTTCTTTTTGAGATTTCTTCTTTCCATTTTGAGAAAACTGCTTTTCCTGTTAATTTCTGATTTAGGTGACTGCATATAAATCACAGTTAACTGTGTTCTTTTCATTTTGTCTTTTCTCTATCTTGTTACATTTTCAACAAGTAGATTTCTCTTGTGTTTAGGGGACATTTGCTCATTCTTCATTATTCTACAACTATATAGTTATGTCCCTCCCTGGAGCCGTCCATCTATGCCAGCAGCTAAAATACTGCCTACTTACTGAATTCAAATGAATTTCCAGCTGTGAATTTCAGATGAACTTACTGTGAATTTCTTTTTCCTCTTATGTCTTTCAGAAGCCTTGCACCGCCCCTATGGTTGTGATGTTGAACCCCAAGCACTGAACGAGGCCATCAGGTGGAGCTCCAAGGAAAACTTGCTGGGAGCCACTGAGAGTGATCCTAATCTCTTTGTTGCACTTTATGATTTTGTAGCAAGTGGTGATAACACACTCAGCATCACTAAAGGTGAGCTTCTGAGTAATACCCCTTACTTTTCAGTTTTCATTAGTGGATAGGAGATAAAGGGGTCTGTTCTAGATTCTGCCTCTAAAATTAGCTAGGTGATCTGGGCCCAGATGCTTTGGGTTCATAATTGTCTGTTTTTAAAAAGTGAGAATATGTTTTTCATTGATTCTAGAGAGAAGAGGAGAGAGAGGGAGTGGGTGAGGTAGAGGGAGAGAGAGAGAAAAAAAGAAAGAAACATTGATCAGTTGCCTTATGTGCATGCACCCTTCGGGGGCTTGAACCTGAAACCCAGGTATGTGACCTAACTGGGAATCGAACCCCAGACCCTTCAGTGCACAGGGTGGAACTCAAACCACTTAGCAACACCGGCCAGGGTGTAATTTTTTTTTTTTAACTTGTGTATGGGGTAATGCCACTTTGTCTACTTTATAGGCTTATTAAGGATAAAATGAGATAAAGTATTTTAGAAAAAACACCATACAATATACACATAAACTTTCCTTATTCTCAGAATTTATATTTAATATGTCAGCATTCATCTGCTTCGGAGGTAGGGTTCACTGTACATCTCTTCTCATTGATTGAATCATGTTGTCCGTGACTGGCTGCCTGTCTGAGAACTGTTTGTTATCAGTTTGCAATGAGATTAAAAATTGTACCCAAAATGCAAACCAACTACATCACCAAGTACACTATTATTTAGTTCAGCTGACATTTCTTTTTTCTTTTTTTTTTTTTTAGCAAGACTTTCGGCATGAAGAAAGTAGTCTAGTGATTCACAGTCTGGCATAAGCCTCTTAGCTTATTGTGGAGTTGCCGTGAGCAGCACTGGCCTAGGCCAGTGGTCGGCAAACCGCAGCTTGCGAGCCACATGCGACTCTTTGGCCCCTTGAGTGTGGCTCTTCCACAAAATACCACGTGCGGGTGCGCACGTACAGTGCGATTGAAACTTCGTGGCCCGCCCTAACTGGTTTGGCTCAGTGGATAGAGCATTGGCTTGCGGACTGAAGGGTCCCAGGTTCGATCCTGGTCAAGGGCATGTACCCTGGTTGCGGGCACATCCCCAGTAGGGGGTGTGCAGGAGGCAGCTGATGGATGTTTCTCTCTCATCGATGTTTCTAACTCTCTATCCCTCTCCCTTCCTTTCTGTAAAAAATCAATAAAATATATTTAAAAAAAGAAAAAAAAAAGAAACTTCGTGGCCCATTGGCAGAAGTAGGTTTTCGGCCTGGGCGAGTCTATTTTGAAGAAGTGGCGTTAGAAGAAGTGGGGGTACGTTCGCTGAGGTTGACCCCTCAGATTGAGGACATTTTTAGCAAAGGCCAGTTTAGGAGTGCCCTAATTAAGTTAATGACAGTGTACCTACCTATATAGTTTAAGTTTAAAAAATTTGGCTCTCAAAAGAAATTTCAATCGTTGTACTGTTGATATTTGGCTCTGTTGACTAATGAGTTTGCCGACCACTGGCCTAGGCAATTTATCTCTCATTTGTGTTTATATGGATCAGTTTATAAGGAACAGTACGAAGTGTTTCTATTGTAGTAATATTCTCAGATTATTTCGGTAGTAAATTCTTATAAAAGGGAACACTAAGAACATGACCAAATAAAATCATCCATTATTGGTTTTTTGAACAAGGATAGAAAATATGAAACTTTTATGAGAAAGAAATAGAAGAATGGGAGGTTGTCATTGTGTACATGAATTGGATTGCTAATTTGCCTAAGTTCTTATCTTTTGAACTTACTGGGAAAAAATATATTTCAGGAGAATTTTTCACTCCACAGATCTGTCATGTTAAGTAATTATTTGTCAAACATATGCCTTTTAAAAATATATATATTTTTATTTCAGAGAGGAAGGGAGAGGGAGAGAGATAGAAACATCAATGATGAGTGAGAATCATTGATTGGCTGCCTCCTGGGGATCCTACTGAGAGTCGAGCCTGCAACCCAGGCCAGGCATGTGCTCTGACCAGGAATCGAACTGTGACCTCCTGGTTCATAGGTTGACTCTCAAACACTGAGCCACACCAGCTGGGCCAAATATATTCCTTTTATTTGTTACGTTCAGAATGAGGTAGATATTAATTGGGAGTGGACATACCAAATTAAGAACATAAGCCTCCATTCAAGGAATGTTACCTTTAAATAAAATTTTTATATATATATCAGTTTTTGAAATTTGGCCAGATTCATCAAAAGCAGAAATGCTAAAAACTGAGTTTCTCACCTTAGCTGATTTGACTTAGTGGATAGAGCATTGGTCTGCAGACTGAAGGGTCCCAGGTTTGATTCTGGTCAAGGGCACATGCCCGGGTTTCGGGCTTGATCCCCAATACGGGGCGTGCACAAGGCAGCCGATCAATGATTCTCTCTCATCATTGATGTTTGTATCTCCCCCTTCTCCCTTCCTCTCTGAAATAAATAAAAATATTTTTAAATCAAACAAAAAACCCTGAGTTTCTCAAACGGGGGTATTAATATGTCCCAGAGTGAGTGTGATGGCATGTGTGCATGAGCCAGGAGGTTCCAAAGGCACAAGAAAAGTAAAGTGCATTATTCCTCGTGTCAATTTACTTAAAGATTTTGGGTAGTTTTGGGGGTGGGATGGATGTGTGAGAGATGTGTGTTTATGCATTGGGAAGAAAGTTTTAGGATAAAACAAAGGACTTCATAGAAATTTATTCTTGTGGTTGTCTTTTTGAGTTACAATAGATCCTGATACGTCAGTGGAGAAGTTTGTGAAGCTGTGACTCAGAACATTCTTTCCTAGATATAATTTGCATGTCAGTATTTTCCAAGATAGCTCAGTCACTGAGGAAACATTGATAAAGTTTATTGAGTCTTCAGTTACCAGTTGTGGCAACCACTAGTGTGCAGCTCAAGGAATAGGATTCCCTTTACCTTACGGCCAGCAGGGATTTCTCATAAAACCAATGAAATGCCAGATTTTTATATCAGGTCCTTATTAATATAAAATAATGTTATGCTAAAGCTTTTTAATTATTTTAAATATAAGAAAATGTATTTAAAAAATAAAATAATTATTATTTTACTTCCCTTTGTTTGAAGATAGTAATTTGCTTGAAGTAAGAAACAAAGTTCTACCAGGATTGCTCTATCAATAGGGTAATGCTTTGTATCCCTACCAGCTCATACCCCTGTCAGTTTCCTTCCAGAGTAGAAAATTCTTCTCCTAACTGCCAAAAAGAGGGGAAATCAGACAAAAACCTAGGGTGTTTCACTGTAGCCTAATTTGATTACCGATCATTACCAGTTCTTTATAAGGAAGCAATAATAATATGCTTAGTAAAATACTTAAGTGTTTTATCTTTTCTAGTTCTCAGGGAGTAAAAGAGAAAAGCTACAGCGCAAGTTTTATTTTGTTTTTCTAGCAGTACTAAGATTTTTTCCCTGTGCGTTTCCACCATCACACTCCTATTTATAAATATGTATATTTTATATATACAAAATGCATATGAATCCATACTCCTGTGTTTTTTCTCACTGAATGTCTCATATCCAAGTCTCTTGGGTGAGAGATAGTAAGAGCCAATAGGAAGTTATCCTGTGGTAGACATTTCTGTAAACCACTGAGAAAAGTTAGATAACTGTCATAATAATGATTCTGAGATTTTCCTCAATCACCTTTGCCTGATAACTGGACCATATGCTCTTGATTGATTTGGCGTTTTTCTGCTTTCTGACACAGAAGTGGGTGTGAACTCTATAGGAAGGCTGCATCTCTCAGAGTGAGGGGCCTAAATTGAAAGGATTGTTTAGGTGGTCAGTTATTACTAATGATATCTCATTTGCTTTTCTGTCTTGTCCATGCTGCGAGTATAGGGGCAAGGTATATGTTGCTGGAGCCTGAAGTTGATGTTTACAACTTTAATGGAGCAATCAAGTACACAGAAGTCATTAGCAAAAGATACTTTGAGTAACTTGAGTCTTGGGTTCCAACATCAGACTCAGCTTCCTTTCCCACACACTAATTTTAGAGGAATGGATAGGAGTGACTCATTCTTCATGGGGAATGGGAGGGAAACTGGGAAACTATATCTATTTAAAACTTGAGTCTTGGAAAAGATTGTGCTTTGAGAGTCCTCACTACTCACTTCCCATCCCCCAAACAATTTTCTTTCTGAAAACATTGCTGAAAGCTCTGTGGTCGGTGCTTTTTTTTTTTTTTTTTACATTGTTGGTTTTGTTGCCTTGGTGCCATGTGAAATTTAGAAGTAATGTTGTGTTTCCCATAGCTTATCCTTAATCCTTGACTGCTTGTTAACATTGAACCATATAAGATACATTCCTTGACTAACTGTTTTGGGAAGAAAAAATGAACAAAAAAATGTTTTTGAAGGGTGAGACTATGTCATTTCCAGCCATTTGAGTAATCTTTTTATCTTTGTATACATGGAGTTTTCTAAAGACATTTTTAGTTGGTATAAAAACCTTTGAAAACCTGTAGTAAATGCCAAAATGCCACTTTTAACTATGCTTCTTTTGTTTAAGCTACAAGTTAAAGAGATCAGTGGAGGATATGATGAACAGCCAAGTTTGTTTTCATTATTATTTTTTAAATATTTTTATTGATTTCAGAGAGAGGAAGGGAGAGAGAGATAGAAACATCAGTGATGAGACAGAATCACTGATTGGCTGCCTCCTGGGCATGTGCCCTTTCTTAACTGGAATTGAACCTGGGACCCTGAAGTCTACAGGCCAGCGCTTTATCCACTGAGCCAAACCAGCTAGGGCTGTTTTCATTATTTAAAAACACATTTGTTGGCATAAAAGTTCCTGATTTATTTTTCAATGAGTTTAAAGTTTGATAATAGATTGCTTTTGAGACAAAGTGTTAACATCTCATTCTGTGATAACCTTATGACTAGGTGAAAAGCTACGAGTCCTTGGTTACAATCAGAATGGTGAGTGGAGTGAAGTTCGCTCTAAGAATGGCCAAGGTTGGGTGCCAAGCAACTACATCACCCCAGTAAACAGTCTGGAAAAACATTCCTGGTACCACGGACCTGTGTCACGCAGTGCAGCTGAGTATCTACTCAGCAGTTTAATCAATGGCAGTTTCCTGGTGCGAGAAAGTGAGAGCAGCCCCGGGCAGCTGTCCATTTCGCTCAGGTACGAGGGGCGCGTGTATCACTACAGGATCAATACCACCACAGATGGCAAGGTAAGACTGGCGACCACCTTTAGGTGTGGATGGGCTGCTCCTTAGAAATTATATTCAGAATGACTGAAGAATATAGTTTTTATGTCTGACGAAAGAAAATAATCACTGGTGTGAGTTAGGGCTGTTTGGCATGTTAAAGAGAGCTTTTTTCAAAAGAATATGGTAATGGAAATTTAAAACAGTATTATAATAGAAGTTTAATGATGAACTAAATGTGAAGAATAAAGGAAATTGCTGGATAAGTTAGCTGTTCTAATGATTGTTAATATGTAAATAGACATACATCTAATGCATGGTATAGAATTTATTTTTTAAATATATTTTTATTGATTTCAGAAAGGAAGAGAGAGATAGAAACATCAGTGATGAGAGGGAATCATTGATTGGCTGCCTCCTTCATGTTGGATGGAGCCTGCAATCCAGGCATGTGCCCCTGACTGGAATCGAACCTGGGACCCTTCAGTCCACAGGCCAACGCTCTATCCATGCGCCAAACCGGCGAGGGCTGTATAGAATTTATAAGTTAAATCTTACATCTGAAAATTATAATAAACTCTACACGAAAGTTAACAGAGTAAGAATTTAGGCTTCTAAGACTGGTGTTGATCATTAATATATCTCTCTATATATGTGTATGTGTGTATGTATATATAAAAGGTTAAGTGACCGACTGTCCATCTGACCATCTGACCTACTGTCTGACCGACTGACCATTCGGCCGGTACATATGACATGCATTGGCAATTTAAAAATAAACGTTGACTCGCGCATGCGCTATACATATAAAGTTCTCGCTGGCACCAATCGCACGCGTGTTTTAATTTTATATACACTATTTTGACATAGAATTTTTTTGCAGTAATGTAATTACTGCGTGAATCTTTCTAATTAATTTCCTTTCAATGTGCACGTGTCCATGCACCAGGCCACTAGTGTTAATACAAGTAGATGAATCACTTAGCAGTTTACATGTTGGAGAGACCAACCAGTTTAGAATGGTTGTTTTAGAATGTAACGGTTTCACTTTATAAACTATAAAGCATAGGCTTATGTTAGTTCCTCTATTGAACAGTAAATGTAAATTGAATCATTTCTTCCATTCTTTTCCTCTCGGGGATATGCATACTAGGGGAAAAGCACAGGCTCTGGAGCAAGCAGGTCCTGGTTTGCTGTGTAACTCCACCATTTATTTATAACTTTGTGATCTTACATAAGCCTCAATTTCCCATCTCACTTTATTGCATTCTTGTGAGGATTAAATGAAATAATTTCCATAAAGCATAATGGCTGGTATAAAGTAGGAAATAAGAAAATTAGGAATTCTCTTTCTCTTTCACACTGTCTTATATTGTCTCTTGATGAAACCAAATAGAAGCAGATAAGTAATAATATACAAGAGACAGCTCTTCTTCTGGTTATATACCCAACAGAAATGAGTGCATATGTGTACAGAAGGCATGCACAGGAATGTTCATAGCAGCGTCAGTTGTAATAGCCCTAAACTAGACTCTCCTAACTGTCTAACAATAGTGGAATGAACTAATAAATTGTAAAATGCAATCTCATATAACAACAAAGATGACCATAGTACTGATATGCAAACTTCAGGAAAACTATGGCCCGCCAGCTCCCTGTTTTTAAAATAAAATTTTATTGGAATATAGCCACACCCATTTGTTTATGTACTGTCCATGGCTGCTTTCTCATTATTACAGCAAATTTGAGTAGTTTCAACAGAGGTGCTATGGCTAGAAGCCTAAAATATTTTCTGTCTGCCCCTTCACAGAAAAGTTTGCTGATCTCTGCCATAGAGGAACCTTACAAATAAAATGGAGCAAAAGGGATCAGTGGTTGTCTGGGAAAGGGATGGGGCAGAGGGAATGACTACTAGGGGGTATGGGTTTCTTTGTGGGGTGAGGAAAACGTTCTAGAGTTAGATAGTGGTGATGGTTGGACAGCCTTGTTGAATATACTAAAACCACTGAATTGTATACTTGAAAATGGTAAGTTTTATGGTATGTGAATTATATCACAATAAAAAAGTTGAGCAATCTAGAAATTTTATAAACAGAATCTTGGATAAATAGACAGTATTTTTGACTATATTAACATTTTAACAGTATAAAAATACTATGTAAATCTCTTAAAATTCTGACATTCTACAGTCTGTATTAGACATGCTGGTCTTACAATGTTTTACTTCTGCCTTAAGATTTAAGTTTCTTAAATGTATTTTTGCCTGAATTAAATGTTAACTTGATGAAAACTTTTAAAATCATCACTTAGTGGGTTCTAATAAATTAAAAATTAAACCTGAAAAAAATTGAGTGAAAGAAAACAGTACGTATTGTATGATTCCATTTGTATAGAGTTAAGAGGCAGGCAAAGGTAATCTAAGGTGCTAAATAGAAGTCAGCAAAATGGTCATCTTTACAGGGGTATATAGATGGGAGGGCACAGGAGAAGCTGCTGGGGTGCTGGTGATGTTATAATTCTTGGTGTGGGAGATGTGAGTTCATTTTATAAAAATCAGTAATTCTCCATTTATTGTACACTTTTCTGTATACAGTAAGGCCCAAAGACTGCTATATTACTTTACACTTACTGCCTATCACAGATTAACTACTGTTTTGTTAATAGACCCTCTGAAATAAAATTGTGACTCTTTTTTAAATGGTCTAGACCTGTGGTCGGCAAACTGCGGCTCGCGAGCCACATGCGGCTCTTTGGCCCCTTGAGTGTGGCTCTTCCTAAGTCTTAGGAGTACCCTAATTAAGTTAATAACAATGTACCTACCTATATAGTTTAAGTTTAAAAAATTTGGCTCTCAAAAGAAATTTCAATCGTTGTACTATTGATATTTGGCTCTGTTGACTAATGAGTTTGCCGACCACTGGTCTAGACACTCAAAAGCACATCCTAATTAAATAAAAATTATAACATTTGATATCCTTGCTCTACCAGAAAAATCGAAACAGTGGTTTTCAAATTATGTTCTGTGCAAGATTCTGAGGGGGTATTTGATAAACTCACAGGAGGTCGAGTTCCCTCTTGCCTACTTTAATCAGAGAATCTCTTCCTTTATTTGTATAATATAGTTGAATTGCATGCTTAAAAAGTATTTGAGGACCAATGATATCAATGATCCAGAAAGCTATCATTGAAGTTTTTCCCCCAAGACTAGAGCTAATTTAGTAAGCATAGGAAGAGTAGGTTAAAAGTAAGATGAAACTGAAATTCTGTGTTATCCCTTACCATCATCATTTAATTCTTTGATTTACCTCAATAAGATAATCTCCTAGCTCTATACCTTCAGATCAGTGAAAAAATGGGCTTTAAAAAAAATTTCTGACCCTGGCCGGGTGGCTCAGTTAATTGGAGCATTGTCCTGTACACCAAAGGTTGCGGGTTCAATTCCTGGACAGGGCATATACCTAGGTTGCAGTTTCAATCCCTGGTTGGGGTGCATGTAGGAGGCAACCGGTTGATGTTTCTCTCTCCTTCTCCCTTCCACTCTCTAAAAAAAGTGAATAAACATTTCCTTGGGTGAGGACTTAAAAATTTTTTTTTGATCTCTTTTCAAGTTGACTTAGCTTTTCTCCTGCCTTTCTCACCAGGTATATGTGACCGCTGAGAGCCGCTTCAGCACCTTAGCAGAGCTTGTCCACCATCACTCTACAGTGGCTGATGGGCTGGTGACAACATTGCACTACCCCGCACCCAAGTGTAACAAGCCTACAGTTTACGGTGTGTCCCCCATCCATGACAAATGGGAAATGGAACGAACAGATATTACCATGAAGCACAAGCTTGGGGGTGGTCAGTATGGAGAGGTTTACGTTGGCGTCTGGAAGAAATACAGCCTGACGGTTGCTGTGAAAACATTGAAGGTGGGTTGCTGAGAATTACAGTGCTTGGGCATCTTCTTCTTTTGTGCTGAATCACTTGGAAATACCAGCATGCCCCGCCCCTCTTTAACTGGGGAACACTTTCCACCCACTGTTGCCACCCTGATCAGCACATGGTGATGATCAACCCTAGTGCCATTGCTGACAGTGCAGAGGAAGATTATTCATTGCAGTGCAGTGAAACCCACATGTGGGGAATGTTTGTCTCTGGAGACTGTTGATGGAGATCTTAGGGGGAGGTTAGAAGCAAATTACTAGTTATAAAGCGAAACAGCTTGTTTTGCTTCCTCAGCACGACCCCTGCTGGACAGAATTCTTCATGCATTGTCTGAGGATCATGGGTACTCTCTCTGGTTTGCTCTTCCCCCCCCCCCCCCCCCGCAAAAAGCTGAAGTTTTAGGATTGTGAGTTGATTCAAATAGTTAAGATGGGGGTTCACTCTGAAATAAATAAATATTCCTCTTCTCTCTTTCTTTTTATTGTTCCCCCTTTTCCAGGAAGATACCATGGAGGTGGAGGAGTTCCTGAAAGAAGCTGCAGTGATGAAGGAAATCAAACATCCTAATCTGGTACAGCTATTAGGTGAGGAAGCTTGCCTAAGCCATAGGTTTCCTCAAAGCTGCTTGTCCCCCAACACCCCATTATCTCCAAATCCTCCCTTAAATCACCATGGTGGAAGCTCCAAGTGTTAATCTACTTCAATAAATGGTTGTTATTTTAATCAACGGGCTCTGTGTTTAAAAGTTGCCTAAGAAACAGTGGCCTGGATTGATTGCAATGTGTAAAACTACCCAGTTTGTAGTGATTGCCCCAGATTCAAAGTTCAGAATCATTTAAAATAATTCCAAATAAAAAAACTATCATAAGCCCTGGCCGTTTTTTCTCAATGGTTAGAGCATTGGCCCTCGGATTGAAGGGTTAAGGGTTTGATTCCGGTCAAGGGCATGTACCTGGGTTATAGGCTCAATCCCCACCCCAGTTGGGGCTTGTGTGGGAGGCAACCAATTGATGTGTCTCTCTCACTTCTATGTTTTTCTCTCTCTGTCTCTCCCCCTCCCTTCCACTCTCTTTAAAAATCAATGGGAAAAAGTATCCTTGGGTGAGGATTAACCAAAAATAAAAATAAAAAAATCACAAAATAATTTCACAAAGTAGACACTAAACAAAGACCTGTTGAAAAGAAGCAGATTAAAAATTGTGACCACACTCATCAATTTACCTTGATCAACTGAAAATTCTATGCTCTGGTAGATTGATTTCTCACCTGTTCAGGTCACAAAGAAGTCTGTGTCTGAACCCTTTGCCCTTTTCAAAATTGGGCCACATTCTTTGGGTGTTCAAATTGAACCCAACTATCCCAAAGGAAATAGTTTCTTGTTGATTCTTTACAAGGAATCTGCCATGTATTTGACTATGGAAACAATTACAATCTTTTTACAAAGTATTACTACAGGCTGGGCTCACATAGTCTTCAACATATGCACAGTTGTGGTTATTTTAGACTAGTGACCTGATGCACGAAATTCATGCACATTAAAAGCGAATTAATTAGAGGAAATATTTTAATATTGCTATTTGCCCTTTATAATAGAAGTGTCAGAGATGAAAGAAAATGAGTAAAATGTATACGAAAATCTTCCTCCTGTCAGAGTCTGGGGTGCGCCACGGGAACCAGAGTCACGGGGGGTGTGGCCTCAGGTCCTCTGGCCCAGCACCAGAGCAGGGGGCATGGCCTGAGGTCCTCTGTCAAGCCCAACCAGGCAGGGGGCGCAGCCTCAGGTCCCTGCTGATTGCTCATTAAGTCTCATTACGGGGACTTGGCCTCCGCTGTGGGTGCAGCCATCTTGTGTTACGGAATCCCTGCCTCCGATGTGGGTGCAGCCATCTTGACCGTTATGGCATGATGGTCAATTTGCATATTCCCTCTTTATTAGATAAGATTAGATCATTAGCACCTAGTGGAGAATGGGAATCATGGGCATATACAGAACTCTAGAAATTTTGGTCTTCTGACCCCTTATGGAATTAATATAAGTAACTCTGCTTTTGCCCTCAGCAAATACTCAAGTGCATATGAATTTCCAGAATTATATAATGGAAGTAGAGACTCCCTTATCAACCATCTCATTAACTTGGCTATATTATTGTCAGAGAATGTGATGGCAAGAAGGGAAAAGATTATTGACAAACAAGATTTTTTAAAATGGTTGATTAATTTTGTCAAAGTTGTTTGGAATGTTTGAATATAGATTAATAAAACAAACTTTATTCTTGAATTCTAAGGTGTGTGTACTTTGGAGCCACCATTTTACATTGTGACTGAATACATGCCATATGGGAATCTCCTTGATTATCTCCGAGAATGCAACCGAGAAGAGGTGACTGCAGTTGTACTGCTTTACATGGCCACTCAGATATCTTCGGCAATGGAATATTTAGAGAAGAAGAATTTCATCCATAGGTGTGTAAACCTGAATATTTTCTGTGATTAACCAGGAAGCTACCTTGCTTGTCATGCAAATAAAGGGAAGAAGGCAAGAACCTCTCCAGAAATTTCCAGATGACTCAGGAAAGGAATTTCCCATTCACAGGGCCCATTATGATGTCATTTCCAACTTATAAACCTATGTGCTCTGATTAAAGTGTTAATGAGAGGCCTTTGTTGTTCTCAAAACAGGTCTTTATTTTGCCCAGGACTATATTCAATAGCCTTTTGTTCCATCTAGTAGCTTATTTAAAAAATAGCTTTCTGTCTTAGTAAAGAACTTCAACACTTGTAGACAAGTATCTGTTGCGCACCTCTAAAACCTATCCCAATGTGCACCTCTAAAACCTATCTCAATGTGCAGTTGACTGGAACAACATGAGTTTGAACTGTGAGGGTCCACTTATACACAGATTTTTTTCAATAACTACATATAGTACTGTAAATGTATTTTTTCTTCCTTATGATTTTCTTCTCTCTAGCTTACTTTATTGTAAGAATCCAGTTTATAATACATACAAAGCTAACAGTAGTTAGCTACTTTTAGTAGCTGAATTTTTGGGGAGTCAAAAGTATACATGGATTTTTGGCTATGTGGGGGTGTAGTGGGGGTAGAGTGGGTACCTCTAACCCCTGCACTAAGTGTCAACTGTACTTATGAATAGGAACCCGTTTTCTGAAGCCTGCTTTATTCCAGCATCATGTAATTGCCTCTTGATAAGTACTCTACAAGTGATACATAATTAGTGATTTTCTACCATGTTAGTGATTATCATAAAAACCTACCATATCTGTTAAGCACTTATAAACTCTGCTTGAGGCACAAAGAACCGAGAATAGAGCATTCATGGTCACTTTCCACCTTATCTGAATAGAATCACATTAGGGTTGGTTCTCTTTCCCGCAGAGATCTTGCAGCTCGGAACTGCCTAGTGGGAGAAAACCATGTGGTAAAAGTGGCTGACTTCGGCTTAAGTAGATTGATGACTGGAGACACCTACACTGCTCATGCTGGAGCCAAGTTTCCTATTAAATGGACAGCACCAGAGAGCCTTGCCTACAATACCTTCTCAATTAAATCTGATGTCTGGGGTAAGGTTGGAAGGGGCTTTTTTCTGTATGTTATTTTCTTTATATAAATGCTCTTCATTCTCTAGAGCTTATCTTTTACATGATCAGTCTCCTCTGTCTTTACCCCCACCTCTTCAATCATTCAGCAAGCATTTATTAAATACCTATTATCAGGCATTGTGCTAGGTGCTTGGCATAGAAAGAAGTGTAAAGAAGAAAATAAAAGGAAGTCCTGCTTTAGAGAGCTCACAGTCTAGACCAGCCGTGGGCAAACTACGGCCCGCGGGCCGGATCTGGCCCGTTTGAAATGAATAAAACTAAAAAAAAAAAAGACCGTACCCTTTTATGTAATGATGTTTACTTTGAATTTATATTAGTTCACACAAACACTCCATCCATGCTTTTGTTCCGGCCCTCCGGTCCAGTTTAAGAACCCATTGTGGCCCTCGAGTCAAAAAGTTTGCCCACCCCTGGTCTAGACTCTCATGTTGCATTGGAGTTCTGAAGATCCTTTAAAGCTCCCTGTTTTCCACATTAGGTATTAGTGCTTGTTTCCAGAGCGCTGGGACACACAGAATAGCATCCTCTTTTCAAGGAAGTCATGCTGAAGTTTCAGCTAGGTTTATCCTGGTAACGACTGCCATGAATTGGTACAAGCCCAGTGGACTGAACCAGTCTGGAAATTTGGATTGTGGGCCAATAGAAATAATTGCAGGATTCTAAGTCACTCTTTACCAGAAATCTCAAACACAGAAATAACCTGTGACAAGATCAAGCAAATTCTTTTTTCTACTGTGAATTTTATCTGATTTCAATTTTATATTTACTCCTCTAATATTAGCTGACATAAAAACTGTGAAACTCATTAATTAGATTATAGATTATTCTAAGAATAGTTTGATTATGCCCCAGACTTCTTGTATGGTCATAGTTTATTTTCCTTCATTGTAGTAAAGGAAGTCTAAATTAAAGGTGGGAAATATAAAGAAAGCCATCTTTATACCTGGTATTTCAGGTCATACCTCAAATGTTCCCATGATAGATATCATAGGAGGAATACTTTTGGTAATTGAATATTATCCAAAATTTGAAAGATAATTACCTAGCGGTGTAAAATAATAATAAATCAGAGAAGAAACATTAAGCTCTTTTTTTGTCCCTTATGCAGCTTTTGGGGTACTGTTGTGGGAAATTGCTACCTATGGAATGTCACCATATCCAGGTATTGACCTGTCTCAGGTCTATGATCTACTGGAAAAGGGATATCGAATGGAACAGCCTGAAGGATGCCCCCCTAAGGTTTATGAACTTATGAGAGCATGTGAGTATTTTTTCATATTTTAAATTTAAGGGTCTGAGTCAGCATTTTGGGGATGATTAGCAAAATTAGGAACATTTTTCCTCGTAATGGTGTTAGATTGAATATAACCACATGGCATATAAAGAGTTGGTCATTGATTAGCCAGTTGGCATGTCATATGCTATACCATTGAGTCTTACTGGAATCCTAAGAATCATTGTCCATGGCTGAAATGTTGAGTCAGTTTCCCAGAAACACTTGCACATTTAATAGGATAATATAATAAGAGCCCTGGCCCGTGTGGCTCAGTTGGTTAGAACATCGTCCTGTACACCAGAGGTGGCAGGCTCGATTCCCAGTCAGGGCACATATTCAGGTTGTGGGTTTGATCCCCAGTCAGGGCACATGTGGGAGGCAGCCAGTTGATGTTTCTCTCGCCCCCCTCTCTCCCTTCCTCTCTCTAAAAGTCAATTAAAATATTTTTAAAAATAGAATAATAAGAAATTGGGTTTGGAGTTAGGTAGGGGAGGACTGCTTTCAACTAGATGGAAATGATTGCTAAAGACTAGATGCACGTAACCTCAGTGATGAATAAACAAAGCACCTTACCCCTTGAAGATGGAAGGTGGTAGTAAAGTGCAGTTGTGTTTGAGCATAAATCTTATTTTCTCATTGAGCATTGGCATTGTCTGCTGCCCTGTCTTCATCAAATATGAACTGCAAGCTCCTCCTTTCGGATAGTCCGTTATATTTCTGAATATGTACAGCTCATGGTTTCTAAGGTTAGAGTGAGTTTGAAGACGAGTTTAACTTTTATTTTTCCAGTGAAAAAAACTTGCCATTTTCTAAATTATCTTCCCATCCCTCCTCACCCCTATGTAGAGGGAATAGGAGCGGAGGCTGCATAGAGGGACTTACCCGAGGAAGTGGGTTCATTATCCTCTGAGCGGAACTGAGAGGCAGCGGCCTCACTATCATTGTGAACATGCTGCAGCTCTGCTTTAAGAGGCACACGTCCTGATGCAGGGGACTCGCTGTCAGGCACGCCACGGGGTGTCCATTCCTTCGGGGGCTTTAGCATTTCCTCCTTTTGTTACATAGGCTGGAAGTGGAGCCCTGCTGACAGGCCCTCTTTTGCTGAAACACATCAAGCTTTTGAAACCATGTTCCATGACTCCAGCATTTCCGAAGGTAGGAATCTGGTAGTTTATTGGTGGCTAGTTCTGGATAGTGATAATATTTCAAAAATGATGGACTTTTGTAGCTTGGAACTCCATTTCAGGATATTGAATTAATTCTTGGCCTTCATTCTTCTTGTTTTGCTTTTTTTTATTTTTTGCCTTTTTTAATGTCTTGTGTTTCTATCATTTTTAATATTGAAAGTATATTTTAATTGCAAATTAATTCAGTCTCTTCATAAAGAGAGTAAGTTCAGTAGTTCTTTAAGCATTAACACTTATGTAGGGAAGAGAAGGGGGGAAAAATCAGTCTGAAAAATATTCCAGCTCCTTGAACCATACCAGCAAATGCAGAACCAACTCATAAGAGCAATATCCAGAAATTTTATTTCTAAAAATAGATCCCAAGGAAATAATTAAGGGTGTAAACAAAGATTTAGCTACAAGAATATTCCATCAGAGTATAGTTTATAATACTGAAAAGTTAAGAACAATTTAAATATCTAGTGGGCTGTTAATTATCATATTCATATAATTAAATATTTAAAATGATATTCTTGAATTGACATGGAGAAGAGTTTAGAATGAGCATGCTAAGTTAAGCTGTGAACAGTGTGATCCCTTATCTAAAAACAACAGTATGGACACACATAGGCAGTTTTCTGCATTTTTGTATACTGCTTCTAAAATTGTCAGCAAAAGTCAAACAATAAACTTGTTATAAAGAGAGACTTTTCCTAAAGAGCTAAAACCACAACATTCTTAGTCAAACTTGCCTATGACACTTTGATATAGTTCCAGAATGTTATACATATTTCTCAATTTTTCCTTTCCTTCATAATTGAACATAGAACTTACTGCTTAAGTTCAAGTTTTAAAATATTAGAAGAAGAAATCAGGCAAGTTGATTTTTGTCTGCTTTCCTCAGTGATTTATCATGTCTAGGTGAGAAGAAAGGGAAAAGTATAGCATCAAATTTAATAGTTAGTATTTACATTCTAGTTCTTTGATGTATGGGATTTCTACAGGTTGGGGAGGGCACAGCTGGCCCTTGGGCAGTTGCCTACCACAGAACTCTTCTCTGTGTGCTTTTTCCTATGGTGTCAAAGTGGTAGAAGTCATGAATATCTTTGGTACTTTTGTGCCAACTTTTAACCTCTGTTGAATCCTGAGTTAAATATTTCTGCTTCTTTTGAAAATGTTATGTCTTTTTAGAAAATCAGCCCTTATCACTTTTAAGGCTAATTTCAATTCACTACTGCTAAATAAGAAACTTAACGTTATTCAACCCATAATTATTAAGCATTTAATCCAGGGGTCCTCAAACTACGGCCCGCGGGCCACATGCAAATACGAATATTGTATTTGTTCTCGTTTTGTTTTTTTACTTCAAAATAAGGTATGTGCAGTGTGCATAGGAATTTGTTCATAGTTTTTTTTTAAACTATAGTCCGGCCCTCCAACGGTCTGAGGGACAGTGAACTGGCCCCCTGTTTAAAAAGTTTGAGGACCCCTGCTTTAATCTGTGGCAAGGACTATATTAGATCTGAGGACACAGAGATAAGACATAGCGCCTACCTTTAAAGGATGTACTTATTAGTTGTAAGTGAAGGAAACCTAACTCAAACTTTAAGTAATAAGAGGAGGATTTATTGGCTTATAACCAAACCATGGAAAAATGGGGATTGTGCTAATCTCAGAGTCAGTTGAAGCCATGGACTCAAGTAGCTTCAGGTCTTCCTCCTTACCCCTTCCTCTTTCCCAAAGCCACTCGCACCCAACATTTCTTTACTTTTGCTTCTATGTTGGTCTCTTCATCAAAATCCTCTAAGTGGCTTTGGACATAGTTGTCAGCATCCTTGAGGTAATGTCTGTCTCCTAGCTGTTTGTATAGCAGTGTAAGAACGAAATCTCATTGTATTGGCTGGTATTATGTGCCATTTACCCACTCTTGTGGGAGGCTAATTTTTTTAAATAATTACCAGCCTGGCCAGTGTGGCTCAGCAGCTGAGCATTGACCCAAAAATCAAGAGGTCACTGGTTCGATTCCCCGTCAAGGCACATGCCAGGGTTGTGGGTTCAGTCACCAATAGGAGGCAGCTGATCAGTGATATTGCTCTCTCGTTGATGTTTCTATCTCTCTATCCCTCTCCCTCTCTCTCTAAAACTCAATAAAAACAGCCCTAGCTGGTTTGGCTTAGTGGATAGTGTGTCGGCCTGCAGACTGAAGGGTCCTGGTTTTGATTCTGGTCAAGGGCACGCACATGCCTGGGTTGTGGGCTCGATCTCCAATAGGGGGCGTGCAGGAGGCAGCTGATCAATGACTCTCATCATTGATGTTTCTATCTCTCTCCTCCCTTCCTCTCTGAAATCAATAAAAATATGTTAAAAAAAACTCAATAAAAACATATTTAAAAATAATAATTACCAAAAGATGTTATAAAATAATTACAGAATTTCACAATTTAATTGATCCTTCGGCCTTCATTTTTGTTTAGAAATGAATAGCAAATTATGTATTTGCCTCAGCAAAAGCCACAGAAGCCATGGCCAGGTTTAGTCAACAAAGGTCACTAATGGCTCAACCTTTTTTCAAGACTCTCATTTGCATGAAATGGAATGTATCTACCCTCTTTTTTAGTACAAGGTGCAACCGAAAAATAAAGGCATCTGTAGACATCTGTCTGCTTTGTTCAACTTCTGAATAGGAAGTAGTAAGCGAGGATAGCTAAATGAGCAGTAAGTATATGAAGCCATGCTCAATATCATTCCTCATCAGAGAAGTACAAAATAAAACAATGAAATCCCTTTACATACCTACCCCAGAATGGCTAAAAGGAAAATCAAACAAAAAACCTCATAACATAAAATGGGCGAGTATGCAGAGTAACCAGAATTTTATACGTTGCTAGTGGGAGTATAGATTGGTACAGGCATTTGGAGAGATAGTTCGGCTGGAAAAAGCTGAATTTATATGCACCTCATGACCACGCATCCTGCTTATGCAATTGTGAAGCAAAAGATGTAGCAGAATGGTCCCTAGCAACGTATTCATAATAGCCAAACACTGGAAACAAATATGTGAATTTTGGTATATTCTCACATTTGAACAGTACACAGGAATGAGGAAAAACCCTGCCACGCAATAATATTGATGAATCTGTAGATGTAATGTTGAGCAAAAGAAGCCAGACAGAAATAGAGCGCATCTCTGTGATCCATTTACACATCTTAGCACTCTCCAGTTCTTCCGCAGCTGTACGCCTTTTCTGAAAAAAACTCCTTCGCTCTGTCATGAAGTTGTTCTTTGTATCAGTCTCCTTGTCTTCCTCACAGAGGTAGCTGAGGAGCTTGGGAGGGCCGCCGCCGCCTCATCTGTCGTCCCCTACCTGCCCCGATTACCTATTCTTCCTTCCAAGACCCGGACACTGAAGAAACAGGTGGAGAACAAGGAGAATATCGAAGGGTCCCTAGATGCCCCCGACAATTCTGCTTCCAGTTCAGCACCAGGTATGGGTCCCAAGGCAGGCAGAGTCATTCTGTCTTGTTTAAAGAACCAAGGGTTATGGTGCTTCTGTTCGCGCTTCCCTGCCCGTCTTCCCGAGGAAAGTGTGACTGGCATCCATTTTACCTACCACTCTAGTCCTCAGCTCTGCATCAGTGTTAGGAGTCCTGATCTATCCACTCGCATGCAGGCGTGCCTCCCACTCCATTCCCTTAGCTCCGGATCCCCAAATGCTTAGCTTCTTTGCAGTTCTGACAAACACTTCTTTAGTGAACCTGATATTGAGGGCAGTTTGTATGGTAGCTTTTGGAGAAAAGATGAAGGCCGAGGCAAACACCAGCAGGGTTTTTCTTTCCATTTACATCCCATATCACATTTGGAATACTGATTAATGTGAAAGGGTAATGTATGTATTAGTTTCCTCTGAGTCTGGCTATCACCTGGCATTGAATAGATGCTGACAAAACTCTTACAGTTCAGCCTTAGTAACTCAAGTGTAACGGAGTGCCTGCTTGTCTTTCACATTACTGATTGGCCGTTTCTCATCAGGGTTCATTAGAAGTGCACAGGTCCCCAGTGGGTCCCCAGCACTGCCTCGAAAACAAAGAGACAAGTCACCCAGCAGCCTCTTGGAAGATGCTAAAGAGACGTGCTTCACCAGGGATAGGAAGGGAGGCTTCTTCAGCTCCTTCATGAAAAAGAGAAATGCTCCCACACCCCCCAAACGCAGCAGCTCCTTCCGAGAAATGGAGAATCAGCCCCACAAGAAATATGAACTCACGGGTAACTTCTCATCTGTTGCTTCTCTACAGCATGCTGATGGGTTCTCTTTCACTCCTGCCCAGCAAGAGGCGAATCTGGTGCCCCCCAAGTGCTATGGGGGGAGCTTTGCACAGAGGAACCTCTGTAATGACGACGGTGGCGGGGGTGGGGGCAGTGGCACTGCGGGGGGTGGGTGGTCTGGCATCACAGGCTTCTTTACACCACGTTTAATCAAAAAGACACTGGGCTTACGAGCAGGTAAACCCACAGCCAGTGATGACACTTCCAAGCCTTTTCCAAGGTCAAACTCTACATCTTCCATGTCCTCAGGGCTTCCAGAGCAGGATAGGATGGCAATGACCCTTCCCAGGAACTGCCAGAGGTCCAAAATCCAGCTGGAAAGGACAGTGTCCACCTCTTCTCAGCCAGAAGAGAGTGTGGACAGGGCCAATGACACACCTCCCAAAAAGTCAGAGGAAGGTGCTGCTCCAACCAGGGAGAGACCAAAAGCCAAACTTTTGCCCAGAGGAACCACAGCTCTTCCCCTAAGAAGCCCCTCTGGGGATCCAGCCATTACAGAGAAGGACTGTCCAGGGGTGGGGGCAGCTGGAGTGGCAGCTGCCCCAAAGAGCAAGGAGAGGAATGGTGGGGCACGACTTGGCATGGCTGGAGTCCCAGAGGATGGCGAGCAGACAGGCTGGGCTTCTCCAGCCAAGGTTGCGGCCATGCTCCCCACCACACACAACCACAAAGTGCCCGTCCTCATCTCCCCCACTCTGAAGCACACTCCAGCCGACGTGCAGCTCATTGGCACAGACTCTCAGGGGAACAAATTCAAGCTCTTATCTGAGCATCAGGTCACATCCTCTGGAGACAAAGACCGACCCCGACGGGTAAAACCAAAGTGTGCCCCACCCCCACCACCAGTGATGAGACTACTGCAGCATCCGTCCGTGTGCTCAGACCCCACGGAAGAGCCGGCGGCCCCGGCTGCCGGACAGCCCACATCAGAAACACAGGAAGGAGGGAAAAAGGCAGCTCCAGGGGCAGTGCCCACCAGTGGGAAAGCTGGGAGGCCTGTGGTGCCTCCACCTCAAGTGCCTCTGCCCACATCTTCCATCTCGCCAGCCAAAATGGCCAACGGCACAGCAGGTACTAAAGTGGCTCTGAGGAAAACCAAACAGGCAGCTGAGAAAATCTCCGCAGACAAAATCAGCAAAGAGGCCCTGCTGGAATGTGCTGATCTGTTGTCCAGTGCCATCTCAGAACCAGTGCCCAACAGCCAGCTGGTGGACACTGGGCACCAGCTGCTTGACTACTGCTCAGGCTACGTGGACTGCATCCCTCAAACTCGCAACAAGTTTGCCTTCAGAGAGGCCGTGAGCAAACTGGAACTCAGCCTGCAGGAGCTGCAGGTGTCTTCAGCCACTGCGGGCGTGCCTGGGGCAAATCCTGTCCTTAATAACTTACTATCGTGTGTACAGGAAATCAGCGATGTGGTGCAGAGGTAGCCACTGTTAGCCTACTGGAAGAGGCACACGTTTCTGAGGGGACGGGAAGGGACTTGTTTTCCTGTGTTCTTGTTTTCAAAAAATGAAAGACTGATACTTGAGTGTGTTTATGTGAAGTACCTCAGCTCTCTGAGATCTCACGTTTACAGGTTCATCTCAAAAATAACAAAAAGCAAAACTCATAGGAGAGGGAAATTGGAGGGGTTGGGCGGTGGTGGGCAGGATTGGAAGCTGCACTGGAATATCAGGGAATGTGTATACGTGGTGCCGTGAAGAACCAAATCCAGCCATTCTGACCTGGAATGATGCGAGGTGGTTAGACAGGGCTGCCCTTGGCAGTGCCGGGAGACTGCCCAGACGGGCCTGACTGCGGCACCCGTCTGTCCCGCACAGAGGGAACTGGCTTAGGGCTCCGGGAGGTACTAATGATTATGTTCACCTCACCCAGGGAAGTCAGTGGAACAGAAGAAAGGAAAGCTGGGAAGGTGCTAAGTGAAGTTTCATCCAAGGCTGTTGGAAGCAGCTATTAGCCTTGCTTCCCCAAGGTCACTTGCTGCAGTAAGAACCGCAAATCAAATTGCTGGAATGACAAAACCGGGAAAGGTGACCCTGTCTGTTGCTCCTCTCCTGTTTTCCATTGGTGTGTTAATTGGAGCTGGAAGTAAAGAAATCTAGGAAGTACAGTCAGGGAGCTTGAAAGCTCCTAAAATCTCACATTGACCAGCACAAGTCACTTCTCTCAGTCTAGTGTGTTATTTCCTAACAGACCAGGATTATAGGGGTCTCTAGTGGTTCTTCTCTGCCCCCTGCTGGGCAGGCTGTCTTCCTTATTCCTGGCTCTTTCAGGCATTAACCAACATTGATTTTGAAATTAGTGGTCATGGACAGGTTCTCACAGGGAATCCTTTTCTGATCCAGTGCCCCTGCATACTGACATGCTAGTCAAGGACTTGGGGAGCTGTGTATTTTGTTATCAACTAAATCTCCAAGAAAGGGGCTCTTCTTGGAACCCAACAGCCAGGCCCAGAGACCTATGACTGAGGAGAGGCTGGTTTGGTCCTAGTGGCTGTTTCTCTGTACCTCTCCCTTCATCACCTTAGACCCAATCTGGGTAGAAAGTAGAGAGAAGCACACACACTCTCTGGATTTCAAATGAATCACCCTAAATTATTCTCACATGCCTTTCTCCTTTCACAGTCCCCCCTCCCTCCATCGTTGTGCTTGTTTGTAAAGATCACATTGGGAATATTTTTTGATATTTATTTTAATATCATATTTTAAGAGTGTATAATTGAAGGAGCATGTCATTTCTAGGGAAAACCAATTAGATCCTGGAAATCTAATGACTTAACCCTCAAATATATTTTGCCTTTGAAAAATAGGCCTTTTCCTTCCCTACTCATTAATTAGCTTTCATTATTATGGAAGCTAATTAGGATCGCAGGGAGCTGAATCTAATCGGTAGATGTTATTAATATTCTCATTATCAGGTCTAATCCCAGTTACCACTTCATTCTGTTTTTAAAGCTTTGTGACTCCCTCCCCAAGGAGAACCCAATACAAAAAAATAAACACATTATTTTTTTCCTTCCAAAGGAATATTAACTTAGGAAGATAGGAATTCAGCATTGGTGAGCAGTGAATTTTCTTCCTGCCTCTGTCATCGATCCACTGTCAAGCCACAGCCCCGTCTCTAAATCTGTTAAATGAAGGTAATGATTCGTGTTCTCATGGGTGTTTCACAAATAAGGGCGTAGTGCTCCCTCTGAGAGCCTCCCTACAAAGCTATTCAGTGCAGTGGTGTTGCCTTGAATGGTTTTCAGTCTCTTCTGTGCTCAGTAGCAAGTCATGAAATTTAGAGCTGTTGAGATTACATTAATTGGGCTAGAATACTAATAGGGAAAAACTATGTTTTAGACAGAGTTTGACATCTTTGACCAAGGAGGACATTTAGTTTTCATCAGAAAGAAAGGAAACCTTGATTCTTATCATGGCTGCTCGAAAGGAGGCCCAGGCCCAGGGAAGGGTTTGAAGGGAGGGGGCAGTCCTGGACATTCCTTGCTGGGGTGGTGGTCTCTGTCTGACACCGGAAGATGCAGCATAGGCAGCTAGTGATGTGCTTAGTCTCCTTGCAGCGGTTGGAAGAGAAGCTCGAGTTCCTTTCAATGTGGATTTAAAGACCAACAGTCCCGCTCCTATCTCCTTCCTCGCCACTTCCCTTCATTATACACTTCCGTAAACTTGAAATCGTTTTAGCAATTAGCCTTTTTAGGGTGGGGCAGGGAAAGCTAAAACTTTAGACTGTTTAATGCTGCTTTTTAAGTTTATCCTGTCATTATGGGATGCCAGTTGAGGGATTATAATTGTTTTTCAGGGGATTTTTTTTTTTTCTAAGCAAGGGATCTTTCATGGAGAGCTCTGAGAATAAGCCTTGGAGGAACACTACTGAGTGTATTTAAGCTCCAGATTTCTCACCGAAATAGTCTTGAGGGTGGGGGCTGTGTCTTACTCAGGGGTGGCACCTGGCTCTATCTTGCCTACAGTAGGTGCTCAGTAAGTTAATGATTGAGTTTTTTCAACACTGTCAATAGTAACATTGACTTTTGCAACACCCCCATCCACAGATGCTTGAACTGTGGAACTTCAGGAGTTGAGAGCTCAGGGTTAAGGGTTAAAGAGGCACTGTCAACTTACAAAAATCTAATAGAGGTTTTTCCTTTTTCTACTTGAAAAGGACCAGATTTAAAAAATAACCTTATGTAAATTTAAAAGTTTGAATTCAAAGCAGAGAAAACTGCTTTTTAGAAATTAAAAATGTAGTTGAATTCTAATCGGTTTAAAAGCAGAGAGCAGGAGCAAAAAGACAATGTTGAAAATTTTCTAAAGTTATATACACACACACACATACACACACACACACACACACCCCTTTGGGCTATGACAGTTTGAATCCTTTCATATACAGATAATACAATTTCAGCTTAGATTTCCTACCTTAAAATGCAATATTTTGTGTAGAATACATCTTCATTGTGCTTTACATGAAGTATTTTCTTAAAAGGCTTTGTGTAAAATTAAAATGTGTGTATTTTCTATTGACTGCCCTCGTAATTTTCAGAGATATAGCCTTAAAAAAATTGGCCCTAAGAAGTTCTTTCAGTGTTTTTCCAGATGGCCTCTGCACATTGAGGTCTTTATGTGGAGCCACTTGCCCAGCTGCATTTTGGGTTTTAAATTAGAATTTTCTTATAATTCAATTGAAAGTTGGCTAATAAAATAGTGCCCGGTTAATAAAATATGCTCTGCTAAGGCATAGCCCATATTTATTTAAGTAACGTCATGGAGCTTTTGAGTTGAGGATAGAGTATAGTCGGTGATTAAGAGTTCAGACTCTAAAGCCAGTCCAGAAGGCAAGTCATTTAATCGTCCTGAGCCTTAGTTTCCTCATTGGAAAACAGGGATAATAATAGTAACTACCTCAGGTTGCCATAAGGATTAAATGATAATATATGTAAGATACTTAGCTTCAGTGCCCGGCACATACTGAGCCCTCCATAAATGTCAATGACCACTATTATTACTAACAAACTTAGTCCAGTGACTCTTAGCCAGGAATGTGCAACAAAATCCTCTGCGTTTAAAAACAAAATAAAATCTGATGCATTGATCAGAATTCCCAGTGGGGTGAGGTCTCAGCCGGTGTGTTTTACAAGAACCAGGCCAGGTGTTTCCAACACTTGTCAGCATCCCGCTTTTTTCCTTATAGCTTAAGACTGGAAGAGAAGACAGTTACTCGCTGTGGATCTCAGCAGTTAATTAGTGGCAGAGCCAAGGCTACAGTTCACTCTCTTGATTTTCTGGTTGCGGGGTCCCTCCCCATTCCTGCTGCCTTGTGAGACACTGCAGAGAAAGTGGCTCAGATAGACAATCAGTCTGCACAGCGCTGCACACCCTAAAGCACATGCTCCTGGCACCCTCTGACCTTAAGGGGCTTGAATGTCGAGTGATGGCAATACTAGCAAAGCAGGCAATCTGTAGACGTCAGTAACCTAAACACTGTGTGGAGTCATTCTTTGGGACAGAGCTCAGCGGCACCGCGATCTGCACTTTGTAATAAAGAAATACCAACTTAAGTTCTAAAACCTCGTCCTACATTCCTCTTTCCTCAGAAAATAGCAACATAAAATTTTATTCTGTGCCATTTTAATGATGGAAATAATGTATATGAAAGCACTTTGAGGAAAAAGTATCAAATGTAATATAACTATAAGGTCATATTATCAATGTCTATTTAAAAGTTAAAGCAGTTGGTTACATGCTGATCGACTTACAGGCTTTTACCTGTGTGGGACCTGAAAATGTAGATACGTAAGCAGTCACCTCTGTAACTTACGGCATTTATAAATATGAAACTGCTAAATGACTATGTGCAGGTATAGTAAGTGTTTTACTGAAATTGTAGCTCAATGTTGAATAACTTCAGAAAACTAGGGACCAACTTTCTGGTTTAATTATAATCATTAAAAAGTAACAATGGGCACTCACTCCACAACAGAGAAGCTCTTCAGGCACCTGACTCAAGAAGAAGGGGGCCCTGTTGGTTGTGAGCCTTTGTCCACTACACGTCCAGTCATCTAGCATCTAAATGTGGCGGCAGCAGACACATTGCCTGTTGATGTTGACAGTGTCTTTTTTAACCTGTGTCCTGCGTGGGGTTTTTGTTGTTGTTGTTTTCCTGCGGGACAAGGGGTTTGGGGGTGAGAGGAGATTGGATGGCTATAGAACCAGAGCGTTTTAGGATTTCCTATCAGTTATAAATGAGCTTGACATTCATCATCCATGTTTATTTTTTTCTAAGAAGAGTAGCTGAATATAACTCACCTGTTAGATGATAAAATACCCAAGAGTAAACTGCATTGGTGGCCACTTTGAGTGACAGCTGCACTGTATTCTGACATCTCCTATTCCCTTCCATGTTTGCTACTGATGTCATCACTGCTCTCAGGCTCTGCTCCCACATTGGGCTGACAGGGTTGTCTGCAGTTTTGTTCTGGATGACTTCTGGGTTTCAGCATCTTGCTTGCATTAGTTTGGGATCCATCTTTCTGTCCTTAGCCTTTATGACCAGTCCTCTTTATGTAGGTGGGTCTCTAGACAGAAGTTTCTAATGTATTTGTTAAAAACTCCAGCTGTCTAGATCTCTGTCTTAGCTTCTGTCAAGCCAGTAGCTCGGTTCTTTTGTAAATTCCTGATTCAGTTTGAGATCTGTGGGAGCAAGAGAGAGAGAGAGAAAGGCAGCCCCAAGGGCACCTGACAATCCAGGGAAGTACAGCCTCGTCACAGAGGAAGGCCTTGGGCTGGTTCTAAAACATGTCCTACTGTTAACAGGATATTTATAACCTTGGGGTAGAGTTTCAGTTTTCCAACTCCCAGACTTTAAAAAAAATCTAATGTAAGGCTTGCTTTTTCGGGCAGGTCAATAGTGCCTGGTGTAACAGTTACCATTACCTGCTCTGTTACCATGGGCCTCCACTGCCCACCCCGTTCTCCTGTGTCACTGGGGAAGCATGGGTGATTTCAGGGCTTCTCAGTAACTGTTTTCGCTCCAGCCTGCCTTTCGTGGAGTTTACTGCAATGTCCAAAAAGATGAGCTTCTGTTCTGGTCCTGCTGCCTTTCATGCCACCCACCTGAGGTATATGTTATATCTTGAGATAACGTGTATGCAAGATGACTCCGTGTCCTAGATCCAAAGGACAGGAAATTGGGGAAGGCTTCACCTGTGATTATCAGGGTAGGACAATCCCATGCTGCTCCCCTGGGGAGGAGGGCTGGCGGCTCATCTTGCTTTTAGCTGACTTGGGAGGCGTGGGGATGACTCTGAGAGGATTGTGCCTTCAAGGATGGGTTTCATGTGTTCTGCAGAGGAAAAGACTTGTCATCCCGGTTGAAGTTGCAAGTTGCTGAACTGGTAGAAATGAACATGCTGGTTGCAGTGGCTCAGAGCCCTGGTCAGGGAGAGTCCCCATTTGGAAGTTCTCCCCACACGGGCCACTGCTCTTCTCTCCGTCCTGCTGGTGAGTGGGGGAAGGATGCTCTAACTGCACCCTTCCCTCCCTCCAGGTCACTCACTCCTTTGCTCCTATGTACCATTATACATTTGAAATTGTTTACCTCTCCTAGAAAAAGTATATCCTTTAATCTCCTCATTGCTGAGCAACCTGAACACAGTAGCAAGGCCTTGTTAACTCAACCCGCAGTCACAGGTGGTGTGTGAGCAGATCTTCAAACCTGCAGACTCTCTAAATCGGGTGGGGAACCTTTTTTCTGCCACAGGCCATTTGGCTATTTATAACATCATTTGAGCGCCATACAAAATGATCAACTTAAAAAGTATGTTGCTATGGAAAAGCTTCTAGATTTATTGAATTTTTAGTCCCGCCTGTGGTTGCCTTGGCAGGGCCAGACCAAATGGTACGGCCGGCTGTTCCCCACCCCTGCTCTGAGGAAAGGATGGCTCCTGTAAGTTGAAAGGCTAGACCAATACTGTCCGTAGACCACACCTTATACCACCCTGTGCCTGTTCTTTGTTCATCGTACTGAAAGCAGCAAGTTTCTGGGTCCTGTCACTCATACTTCTGAGCTGTACACACAGGGCTTGAGGTCTTAGAGCATTCTAGTTAGTTTTTTTGGATATGGTGGAAATGAACTGTCAAATGCTAGCAGACTTAAAGGAAATATAGTGTCTGGTTGGAGCTTGTTTAGATTTGCTTCTGAGTCTTAAGATGGTTTTAAATCATGTGTTTAAGCACCGTAAACTTTAGTTGGAGAATGGGACTTCTGGTTAATAAAATAACCATATGTAAGGATAGTTAATTTCAGCAATTATAACAATAACACAGGTATGCCAGATGTATTCTAGATTCAGAAGATATTGCAGGAGCGGCGTTGCTTTAGGTGATCAGTGTTGCATCCCAGCCACTATTCTGTATGGTTCAGAGTGGCAGCACTGCCCAGAGGCAGAGATGCTTCTGGTAGATGAGGCCTGGATTTTCTCCATTGACAAGCTATTTTACACGATGGCCACTGTTTTTGGAACTCTTTTATGAGAGAAATTTTCAGAGATTTGGAGAAGTCACCTTGATTAGGCCGATTGTCCTTCAGAGAAATTAGTATTCAGAAGCTGGAAAGGACAATGAGGTACTCATAGCTATTTAGGGCGTATGCTTGAAAACCCTCACATCTCAGGTCTGTGTAGAGGGAACATGCCATGTCCACGTTACGTGCGTACCCTGTTGTCGTGCTCACTAAGAAAGGAGGGGTAAGAAAGGGAGTTAATCCAACCCTGGTTGGTGTGTTTGCCGAGAACAGGCCGCCTGAGCTGTTGGTCTGTGCTCAGAGCCTGTCTCCTGGGTGTACCCCATACTCTTCCTTCTCTGCAGTTTGATTCTGTGACTGTCAGTGGAGGAACCCAGTTTTATGTTCACTTGGCACAAGTAAATTTGAATATTTTGTGGTGGTTGACAGAATTTTGTCCTAAAACATAGGCTTCAGATTCTTTAAAACTTGTTCAACGTTTATACCAAAGGTCACGCTCTGCAGGTGCATGTGTGTTGGGTGCACATGAGGGTGAGGTCTGGAGGGCCTGGCACTGTGCCCGTTGCTAAGGGAACACAGTGAGACAACACGGGATTTAATGAAAACACATCAGTCATGGGTCACACTGCCGGTGTCGTCAGGTGTTTGCTCTTGTTATTGTAATATATTTTCAGGTGTTTTGTTTTCTAATTTAATTCTCTCGCCCTGTTGTCTGACTGTGAACTGCTAACAGTGTTAAACTTGATGTAAATAAATGAGGCCCTTGAAAGGGGAATGCTGTCTGCCTGTTGTCTCACAAGGCTTGCCAACTTGTGTTTTATTTTAATAAAGGTTGCAATATTTTATTGGCAAAGGAGGCTTTTGATTGGAGTGTTTCTCCCATCGTTTTAACTGACGGAATCTGAGCAGAATTTGTCTCTCTGTGTGGAATAGAGGTCTGTAAGGTAAAGAAGCTGGGTTTAGCAATCATCCCTCTGGTACATGCTGTAGAATGTCCTCTGTGGGGGTGAATACTTCTCCTTTGATGGATTCCAAAGGCATCGTCTGGAGCCCAGCTGGTACATCAGGTGGGTAAGTGTATGTGTGTCTGTCTGTCCAATGTGAGGTGACTGTAAAATGAGACGTAATTCTTTCCAAGTCCATTTTGAGGACAACTACAAATAAGTTCTAAAAGTGTTTCGAGCCCAAGCAGCATGAAAAGAGTAAGTAGAACCTCACAGGGAACATTCTGTTCTTTTTTGACTTGATTTCAGAGTATTTTAACAGTGAGCCATTGCTTTTAGATGTCATGTTTCATTGGGTAAGAGTAGGGTGCGCTCAGGTGGTGCCCCGTGAGGTCATTAGTGGCTGTTAAACATCAGCTTGTAAACCTCTCACTCCACCTGCTGTGGTTTAGTTCAGGAGAACCTTGTTCTAGTTTTCAGAGAAGACACGTTGTGCTCTTCGCCCTGCTTCGTATTACTGGAACATTTCCATACCTGAAGCTGTGGCATTTGCTGAGGAAATTATTTTATCCTTTTATTTTTGCAGAGGAAATCTGGAAATTGTTTTAGAAACAAGTCATTGAAGCACAAGAGCTGGAGTCGGACTGCCTGGGTTGAACTCCCCTCTCCTGGCTAAGAGCTCTGTGACTTTCCAAAGACATTTCACCTCTCGGAGTCCAGTTTTCTTTTATTAAACAGCGAGGGAGTTGGTCCCTAAGTCATAGTGTTCAAGATGATATGATTGTAAAGTGCTTAGCACAGGGCACAGCACACGGTAAGTTCTCAAATGTTGGTCACCCAGCCAGGGCTCCAAGAACTAGAATGGAGAAGGGCAGCCTTGGCTTACAGTGTCGTGTCAAAACTGACAGCAGTTTTACTAAGTTTTTATTGTTCTGTTACCCGAGCACTTGATCAGTATTAACCAGTTTAATCCTCACAGCAACCCTAGTTGTAAGTTGTGCTCACTTTGACAAAAGTGGAAACCAAGATTATGCTGGGGTTAACAGCTTCCTATCATCGCACAGTGGAATGTGGCTGAGCCAAGGCACTCGGGCCCACAGAAGTGTTCAAAACCACGGAGTTCCGCTGTTTGCCTTGGTTCCCCGGCTGTAAGAGGTTTAGACCTATCGTTAGGACATGAGACATGGCTGGCCAGTGCAGGAAGGATGTCAGCTGTGACTCAAACCTGACGCTATCGAATGTACCTGTTACAGTGTGTATTGCAGTTTAGAGCTGGGTATGTAAGAGGGTCGGGTGGCCTGCACATTCTCCCCAGATGCTCTAGCCTGAGACAGTGAAGACACCGGCCCCATCTAACCGGTGCAGTTAGGTCAAGTTTACTTTTGTCCCATGAGTGGTTTGAAACTAACTTCCTTCAACCATTTGACTGTTGATTGGGGATCTGCTGTGGCTCGGGCTGGGTGCTCCCTAACCAGGAGGCAGCTATTTGAGTGAGTGAGGACTATGAAGTGTCCCGTGGGGAGAGAGAGAAGTCTGTCACTTCACCTGGGCTCACGGGGAGAAGGCTGGGGAGGGCTTTAAATGAGAGGCGACACTTGAGGTGATGACAGATCCAGCGACCTGTATGTAATTCCGAAGTGTCTAGGGCACAGTGTACATGTGGCCATTCAGGCCTTAAAAATGACTTTTCTCTTCAAAGCTGGGAGCATGGAGTGACATTTTCTTATAGAAGAGCAATATGAAGGAAGCTTTTTCAGTACGAAGTTGAAGTAAACCGGCAGACCAGACACCTGGTGTCAGCTCGGTGAGTCCCAGCATTCGCTGGAGTTACTCCACCCCCCCATCAGCGTTACCTGGCATCTGGAATTTTGCTGAGTGAACAGGATTACTAGGTCCTACTAAGAAAGTAGGCTGAAGGTTTTAGCAAAATAGAAAATTTTAATATTTACATATGGCACAGTGATGTCAAGGCCCCTAACTTTAAAAATATTTTTTTAACCTGCAGAGCAGAACAAATCTCAGCCTACACTGACATGATTTTTAAAAAAATTATTCTGTACCTTTTTTTTCCAGCCCGAGGCTCTCCCCTGCTGTGCTCACAGATATAAGCTGCTCAGCTTCCCCCTGAGAGTAACGACCTGAAAGGCGGCCCCACACGCCACAGGTAAGAGAACTCTTTTTCCCTTCCTGTCACTGAGAATCCTGCAGCCTCAGGCCTCACACCCAAGTCCAAGCAGCTGCAGGCAAGAGCAGAGATGCTAAGAAGCCCCTGGGATGAGTTTCTCTCCCACTTGGCGCTCTCCAGCCACCTGGCCCACATTTTGGAATGTGGCTCTGGCTTCTGATTTAAGGCCTATCCTTTTATACACCACGTGTGTGAGTGCTGGGCGTCTACTGACCCCAGCCAGGGTCCTGTTAGGCAGCTTCAAGTTTTCATCTTGCTCTCAAGGCAGGAAATAGTTAATTCTCTGGGAAACAGATTTGCATCCTTGAGAAGAAAAGATTTGTTCCTCTTTGGGGACATACACCATCATCTTGGCAATTTCGTCCAGTGCCTCTTCTGTATACTGGAGCTCCTGGCTCAGGAAAGCATCACGTGCACACAGCCTCACGTGGTGGTACTCCAGTGGCAGGAAGGGGACAAAGAAGTCAATCAGGTTTTCCTTCACAAGGCGGCTGTGGCCAAAGCCACTGTCTGAAATGAAGACCACAGTTACATGGGAACCTGAACCCAGCTGGAGTGTGAGGTGTCCTGACCCTAAGGCCTGGGCAAGGCTTGCTCTCAGGGCCACTCCAGGAGGACTGTCTGCTCTAGAAAGGGTGCCTAGGCTGACACTGGGTGTGTGCACAGATGCGGCAGGAGTGGGACATGGCAGAAGGTACAGCCACCTTCCCTCTGACTGGAGGCCTAGCCCCAGGGTCCACGGGCCACTGCCGGTATCCCCAGGGCCAGGGCAAACTGCTCTCAAAGCATTTTCAGAAACGAGTGCAGCTTTCTTGGCACTTTTCTTGTGCCTCCCTGAAGTTGATGAGGTGATTACAGGGTGTGTCCTGTGGTCCTGAGTACCCGGTGGGAGTCAGTTACCTGTGGACGCCACAATCTCAGCCTGGAGGCCGGACTCCAAGTGTTCCATCGTGATATCTTCCCGGGACAATCCAGCCTTCAGCAGACCCAGGACCACCTCATTGATGACGTTGCCTCCAAGGTTACTAAAAGATACAGGAGCTTGTTAACAGTTTCATCTTTCTATTTAGGCTTCAAGTGGACGGCTTGACACTGAGGCCACTGCACTGGAAGAACGGAAGCTGAGGTCTGGGGCCTCCTCCGGCAAAGGTCTGTACAAAAGAGACATTGTCCGGCCTTGTCACCCTCCCTTGCTCCCTTTTGACAAACACTTACTGAGACTGCTGGGTGCCGGGAGCCCAGAGGGGTGCTGAGGTTCTCTCCGTTGACTTCCATGTGTATGTGACTCCAGGACAGTGTGGCAAGTGCTAATGTAGGAGAAAACTTCAGAGGGAGGGGAAGTTTAGGAGGCACAACTCAGAGGGGCCTGTGACTGAAGCCTGGGAGAGTGAGAAAGGTCATTAAAGAAAACATGTTTGCCTTGAGCTGCCTCGCCCTAACGGAAGTGGAATATAGAAGGATGGCGACATGTGCCTATGACATCATTAAGCAACTAGAATTTCAGGTCTGAAGCACAGGAAAGAGGACTGGGTTAGAGATATGGAGAAAAAGGGTGAGAAGAAATCTTAGTGGCACCAACAGGGACGCTGGGAAGGAGGCAGGACACCTGGAGTTGGCAGTGCTGCCTCCCTCTCTCCCCTCCCTTCGGGCTCCTGCAGCTCCTAAACCAACCAGGCTCTCCCTAGGAAGCTCCCAGGTACATTAACTCAAGTGTCTGTTCGTTTGAGTGCGGCCTGTGTGCCAGGCTCTGGGGCACAGAGAAGCAGCTGACTGGTTCCATCCATGCCTAGCAGGTAAGCTGACCATCTAGCCGTGACCCAGTGCCTCCTTGCCCAGCTGGAGGGCCTGTCAGCAACAAGAGGAGTCCCTGTCCCGTTGCGTAAGTTCAGCTGCATGTAGGGAAGCTTCTGCCCCAAGGCCTGCCAGGGAGGTCATCACTGCACACGCAAGTGGCTGCACTTGCATCAGCTGAGATAAGACCTGCCCACAGATTGCCCCATCAAGGGCCAGGGGGGCATGTGTAGGACTTGCGTATGTGGCCCCAGGAGCACAGATTCCAGTGCCTTCCCTGTTTCTGCCCAGAGCCATCTACCTGACACGAAGTTTCTGGAGAGCAGGAGCTTAGCCTGTTTATGTGACCACCGTGCATAGCACATAGCAGGCGCTCAGTGGATAGTTTTGTCTCCACTTCCCTCCGAATTTCTCCTCTTGTTTTGTCCTGCAGCCATCATCTCACCACGACATAACCTGGGCCCCTTCTCTGTTCACTCTCCTAGTCCTTAGGAGCTGCTGCGCTGGCACATGTAATCTCACCAGCCCTCAGAGCCCAAAGGCCTTTCCGGAACGCTAATCTCTGAATCTTCATTTCCTTATTTGTAAAGAGATTAGACAATTTAAGATACCCTCCTTAGGTTCTACACAGTCAACATACGTGCATTTTTTTCTTCCCGGGGTACAAGTCCTTTCTCTTCTTTTCCTGACAACAGTGCAGAGAGAACAGCCATGAATGTCCCAGTGAGAAGTGGACAGTCCCTTTGCTCTCGGGAGTTCCAGGGTCCTGCCTGTGGCCACCTGGAGCCTTCCATGCTTGTAGAATAGGTGGAGGCAGGCAGTGTGAGGGTTCTGGCCCAGAAGACTCGGCTCTGAGGGCTGAGGCAGTCTAGGCCCCCACACCCTACGTGTCCTGTTTCAAGCACCACCTCCTGCTGCCATCACACTCCACACAGGTGGTGAAAAACCACCACCAGCTCACCTCCAGCAGCAGCTCTAGGAAATGTTTCAGGATGAACTGCTGTGAGTTGCTCACACTAGAAGTTTGAATCAGCTATGTTTTTCTTTCAGATAGAGGAGTCCTTACACATTCTAGAAATCAAGCCCAGAAATTTGTTAAAGAGAAAAACCAGAGTCACTGTGCTAAAAGCCCCATGGCACCAAGCCTGGACTTCTCTGGTCAGTACCAATGAGGTAACCTGTCACAGGCCCTCTTCCATCACCAACAGAAGCTGGCCCTGCCAGAAACAGTCCTTTGTTTTGCCAGCTTTCATGTCCTGCCCAGTTTTGCTTATAAAAAGCATCCATTGTCCAGATTCTCAGAGCATCTCTATTTACTAGATGGGATGCTGCCTGATTCAGGAACCGCTTAATAAAGCCTATTAGCTCTTGAAATTTACTCAATTGAATTTAGTTCTTTAACTGATTCAAATACATTGTCTTTCCCTACCCATCACTAAATAACTGAAAACCTTCAAGGTTTAAAGCAGTGATGGCGAACCTATGTCACGCGTGTCAGAGGTGACACACGAACTCATTTTTTTGGTTGATTTTTCTTTGTTAAATGGCATTTAAATATATAAAATAAATATCAAAAATATAAGTCTTTGTTTTACTATGGTTGCAAATATCAAAAAATTTCTATATGTGACACGGCACCAGAATTAAGTTAGGGTTTTTCAAAATGCTGACACGCCGAGTTCAAAAGGTTCGCCATCACTGGTTTAAAGGGGGGCAACCTTGCTGGCCCTTGGGTGGTGGTAGCTGGCCCCCTGCCACAGGTGTGGTATCCTCCTTCCTGAGGGCACATAGGCCCACAGGGCACCTTTTCCCTGCCCTGCCTCCACCATTTATGGTCCGTCTGGGTCACTGGAGGGTGGGGGGTGGGCATGGAGCGGGGGTGTCAAGACCAAAATACTACAATGGCAAACATTTACATTTGTTTAGAGATACAGCAGGGTCACCTTAGAAATCCTGGCACAGGTGCTGAGAACTGGGCCGAGCCCATGTGGAGGAACAGTCAGCTGCAGCCACAAGGCAGAGCTGGCTCAGGTGAAGTGAGAGGAAGGAGAAGCTAAGCACAAAGTCAAAGGATTTCTACAAAAGCAAAAGAGAATCATGAGCTGGTCACCAGAACCCTTCCATGGGGAGGACTGGTGTCTGCAGCAGCAGTTCAGAGGGTTCCCTGGGCGCCCAGCACCTGGCAGGGCTTAGGTGGAGAAGCTGTAAGGAGCCTCCAGGCTGCCTCAGAAGGTGGTCAGTAACAGAGCCAATCATATCAGCAAATCTGCTTTTCTCTTAAAACCACCTTGGTCGGCCTCCTGCCCTCCACAGCTCACACTCTCCAAACCTGTATGCACCCTAAAACTGGGGAAAATCCCCCAGCAAGCACGTCCTAGCCTGGGGAGGGAACAACTGGTTTGTCTTCCACTGAGTGCAAGAAGCGGCTTGTGAAGCATTCAGGTTGGGCCAACAGGGACCCAGACTTTAACAGACCTTGGGCAGTACATTCCCAGTTGGAGCCTCCATAAAATAAGGTTGGACAAGTCGATTTCTAAGCCTCTTTTCAGCATAGCCTTTTCCAGAGCCTGGAGCACAGCACAAAACAGGAAAGGTCCTGTGTGGTGGGCTTGCAAATAGGGAGAGAGAGAGCATTTCTCATTCAACACATGATCCCTGAATTTCAAGCCAGTAACTTCCTCTCATGATCAGAGAAGAAAAAGACTTTCCAAGGATGGGGAGAGAACACACCATGTTGGAGTTAGTGGGAAACTACCCTTTGGGTCTACATTAAGAATTTTCCAAGGTAGTTTGTACTTGATTTTGAACTAACTTGCTGACTTGAAAACTTAATGCCCTACTAAGAGGGGATTCCCAGTATATGAGTTACATTTCAAACTATATTACAAAGTTACAGTAATCAAAACAGTGTGATACTGGCATAAAAACAGACCCATAGATCAATGGAATAGAACACAAAACTCAAACCCACACGTATATGGTCAATACATGACAAAGGAACCAAGAATAAATTAATGGGAAACTAGACCACCATCTTATACCGCACACAAGAATGGACTCGAAATGGATTAAATACTTGAATGTAAGATCTGAAGCTCTAAAATTCCTAGCAGAAAACTTAGGTGGTAAGCTTCTTAATATTGGTCTTGGTAATGATTTTTTTGGATCTGACACCAAAAACAAAAACAAGCAAAAATAAGTGCGACTCCATCAGACTCAATAGCTTCTGTACAACAAAGGAAACCAACTAAAGGAAGAGGCAACCTACTGAATTGGAGAAAATACTTGTAAGTCATATATCTGATGGGTTAATATCCAAAATATAGAGAACATAACTCAATAGCAAAAAAATACACATCCAAAACAAGCAGATTAAAAAATGGGCAGAAGATCTGAATAGATATTTTTCCAAAGAGGATATACTGATGGCCAACAGGTGCACAAAAAGATGCTCAACATCACTAATCATCAGGGAAGTGCACATGAGACATCACATACCTGTTAGAATGGCTGTTATCAAAAGGATGAGGTAAATGCTGGTGAGGATGTGGAGAAAAGTGAACCCTTGTGTACTTGGTGGGATTGTGGACTGGGGGTCTGAGGGGAATCCCACCATCCTGAGAACAATGCGGGAGGCTAGATGAGAGGCAGCTGCTCTTCCCCACGCCAGTCCTCCGAGTGAGTTTGTACTTGGACCACAGTCCTTCAGAAGTGCCCTGCGGTAGAATCGGGGCAGGAGCCGGAGACTTAAGGCTGCCCCCCACCCCCCCACCCCCGGCGGTGACACCCCAAGCAGCTAGGTTTCTATGTTCTCGACTACAGTTGTATTGGTTTCCCTTGTGGAAAAGGGTCTGCAGTCTAGGAGAGCACGGAAGCCCTCTATGCACACACAGCACCCAGACAGAGGTTCTTCCTCCTGGTTTTCCTCAGACCTTACCTGAGAAAAAGAAAGATGGTTCTCGAGGACTCAGCCCTGTGGTTCTCCAGGACCTGGCGTTCCAGATGTGGCCCGAGGGCCTCCAGCAGTCCTGGGTGCAGCTTCTCAGCCTCATCAAAAATGAACAGGGTCTGGTGGCAGTGCTCCTGCGTCTTCCTCACATGTTCTGTCAGCTGCTCCTGCACAGAATACAGGGAGCAGCTGGGGACCCCGGGGAGGCACATTCAGCCCGGAGGGCCCTGGTGAGGCGCCCTTTTACGCTGGGGAAGCACCTGCAGTGGATCGCCTCGGGCTAGGTTCTACCCTGAATTACCAAATTCAAACTGGTGGAGGTGGGGCTAGCCTGGGAGAGGGAGAAGGTGAGGGCCTTGCCTGCCCTTGGTAACAGGCCCTGCTCCCTCCCCTCCAGGAAGAGGTCCCAGAACTAACAGCCAACTCACCCTCCCCAAGGGGTGGGAATCAGGCTCTGATACAAGGGTCATAGGTAGAGACAAGCTCAAGTGCCAGAGGCGGCCACAGTCCCATCTTGAACTTCCAGGAGCAGAGTGCCCACTGGGCTAACTTGGGGAGGAGCCTGGGAAGGACCTATGTGGGTCTGCTTGGCCTGCTTGGAACTGGGGCTCCCCATTCAGGCAAGAATAGTTCTCAGTTGAAAAGATGCCGCTTTGTGGGGTTCACCAGATCAGGGCCAGCTCTGCCCCAGGGTGGGGTGTTTTAGCAGAGCCCACACTCACTGTCGCCTCTAGCCTTCCTGGATCCTGACTTCAGTGCCCTGTGACCTGAGTGTGTGTGTGTACGTGTCATTTTTCATGGTGAGGAAGCCACAGTCAAAGCTAGCTAGTTTTTCTGGGAAGGCCTGGCTGACCAGCTGCCTGCCCTTAGGACAGTTCACCCTAGCCTGCCCTCCGAGGCCACACTGAAGCTGCCAAGTGACTCAGGCAATCTCTCCTCAAATGCTTACCTAATCTTCCCAGGTTACCGCATTCCAAATACTGGACCTGAAAGCCAGAGACAGATACTCACCTCTGTCAGGCTGCAGTGGGGTTTTGGTCATTGTTCAGCTTACTTTAAATACTACATCTCAATGGAAGAAACCCAAAATAGAGCAGCAAAGACAATTTTTGTCCCTCCACTTGGGGGAAATCACTTATGATATGATAGACTTCTTTTAAAAAACAGGATTTGCAACTTTCCACTATAATGACAGTGACATCACACAGCATAGGGAAAGGCTTGCAGGAAGCACACCAAAATGCTAACTGCCTGTGTGTGCGTGGGGAGGTCATGATAAAGCCTTTGCCTTCCTCTGTTCCACTTTTCCTGTGACTTCCACTACTATCACAGAAAATTAACACGCGGAATCTTTTTAAGCTCAGTGTCTGTCGGGGAAGGAGACAGCTCGGGACGAGTGGTGTGGAACATGTCTGTCGTCCACATGTTCAGGGCCTCATCTGTGTGGAGTAGAGGTTTCTGTGGGTTACAGGTTCTGTTGAAATGGACCCTGTCTCCCAAACCCCACACCTAGGCTTCTCCAGGGCCCACCCCCCAGCACAGAGGGCTGCGCCTTGGGCCGTCTAAGCCTCACTCCAGCCCCAGCACTGCCCAGCCTCACCTTGTACAGGTCCACATACTGGGGGTGAGGGAAGTGGATCATGGTGATGAACACCTTGACACAGTCACTCCTCAGCCCGTCCCGGTACAGGTTCTCCGCCAGCAGCCGTGCCACGAAGTTCTTGCCTGTGCCAGACCAGCCGTGGAACGACAGAGCCAGAGCCTTGTCTGGCTGGGGCAGCTCCAAATAGCTCTTCACTGTTGTCAGGACCAGCTCCTGGGCCAGATGCTGGCCGTGCAGTCGCACACTCAGGTCCGACTGTAGGCCTAGGGGTAGGAAAGAGGAGGTCACAGTGAGAGGTGCACACAAGTGCAGTTCCCACCAGGCTCAGCAACAGCCGAGAGAGTGAACACCTCTGAACAACACTGAGGTGGGATCACTTTGGCCTCAGAACAAGCCACTGGGCACACCTAGCAGCAGAAGGGATCCGAGGGCTATTTTCTGAAGAATTTGAGAAGTCACCATTGAACGTAGGGAGAGAATGGATTCATCCTTTCTGAAGGCCCTGAAGACCCCCAGAATGGTTAGGAGAGTCCTATCTGGAGGAGGAACCTCACACCCCATGCTCACGGTCACTCCCACCTGGAAGTTTCAGAACTCCCTACATATTTCATGGAACACTCTCATTTTATTCATTTTAACTCAATTCAGTAGACACCTGTTGGCAGTGTGTGCGAAGTCTTCTGGTAGGCTCTCTCTCCTCTCAGCCATGAGGCTGCAGGGTTTGGAGATGGGGGCCGTGGTGGGGACAGGAGAGAGTGCTGCCAGCTGGGGGGAGGATGAGGAAAGGTTCCCTATACCTTAGCCATTCCCCTGAACTGCCTCCCCT